CTCCTGAATTACTTTGCGCAATGCAGCTGTGCGGCCGTCAGAAGGTGGTCCAGCGCAAGATGGTGCTGCTGTTAGTTTTGATCGGAATTTCCCCGCTAATAATTGGCGACTGGTCTGACATTCTCCCAGAGGCGATGGTGCCTGCGGCAAGACATCTGCGCTGAATGTGTTTACTCGTGGGTGCGCAATCTTCCCCCTCACCCGTCTCCGATGATGACAGCATAGCTAACGAAACTTGACTAGATTCTTCCCGACGGTCTAGTAAGAAACTATACTCCAGGGCATAATTCCAACTACAGTGTACTGACTAGTCATTGCTTGTGCCCAGCGAACCTACAGTATTTGGTACGCACGCATTCCCTCCGAAGTTGAATTGAATTTCCTGAACCCGCATCGCTAACGCAGAAGGATAGAAAACTATGTGCATGGTACATAATGACCCCACCCTCCACTGATAGCGATTCTCTAAACTCACGCGCATCCTAGATATCTTCGTCGACAATATACACGTGGAGCTCTCGCTATGGGATACCGCTGGCCAAGAAGAGTTCGACCGACTGCGCGCGCTGTCCTACGAGGACACCCATGTTCTCATGCTCTGCTTTAGTGTAAGAACGGCCTTTTCTCCAAGACAGCGCAGCATATAAGCTAACCAGTACGATAAATAGGTCGACAATCCTGACTCCTTCGAGAACGTGTCATCGAAATGGATCGCCGAGATTAACGAGAACTGCCCAGGCGTGCGCGTGGTCCTGACAGCACTCAAGTGCGATTTGCGCAAGGATGAAGACATGAACGACAACCCCAACTGCATCAGCTTCGACCAGGGCCTAGCAAAGGCAAAGGAGATTGGCGCCGTGAAATACCTGGGTGAGTGCTCTTCAATTTATATACACTCGATCACACGGCTCATGTCTTTTTCAGAATGCTCTGCGGTCCAAAATCGCGGTATCAGAGAAAGCTTCTACGAAGCTGCCAAGGTTGCCCTGGAGGTTAACGCGGGCGGGGCCTCGTCCTCCGGTTCGTCATGCGTCATTCTGTGATCCCTTGCGGCCTGTTCTTGACACGCATGGTAACCCGTGTCTGTCATCTTGGCCTTCATTTACTCGCTGGATATCCGTCTCCCCATTCACTTTTGCCCGCTGTCATTTTTGCTTTTCCCCACGTTCCGGCTGAATTTGTTGATTCCCCCATGCATTCGGTGTTTTGAGCTTGCTTTTGTTTTTGAGCTTGCATTCGACTTTTCTTCTTCATCGGGGCAGACTTGGTTTGCTCTACAGAGTATTCAGACCGCATATAAATCGGTCTATGTTGATTGCATGTTTGCATAGCTCCGGATCTCCGAGCTTTCCAGCGAGGTTGGTTTTTTGACTGCTAATTATGAAATACAAATATAATTTTCATTGAAATTTGCGGCATTTCTTTTGACATACCATCGTTCTAATATCTTCTTCTAGTGAAGCGAAAGTTCTCGGCCATTTTCTGACCGTCTTGTTTTACCATCTTTAGTGTACATAATATTAGGTACCTCACCGCAGAAGTATGCAACAGATATACTTGATTTGTTCATTAATTTTGCTCGATAACTTGTAAGGACGTGCGCTTTGCCTTGTTCCATCTTCTGTTTCTGCCCTGATATGCCTCATAGTAACATTATGAATACAACCATGTTCAAAATTTACTTCCGAATTGGGTTCCTTACATTGCATCCTTGTGATTCGAACCATGTAGTCAAGTCACTAAGCGCAGTTTTCTAGGTATCCAAACTATTCGAGCTACATACATCATACATATAGGTTCTACAAGCTCGACAGCTGAGATCGAACGAAATGCAACCAAGCAACAAAAACAAGACACTAGTAACACAAACCCCGCATAATCAAAGCAAAGCAGTCCACAAGTACAAGATCTATACTACAACAAATCCTCCTCCCTAACCCGATAAACCTCATCAATCTTCTCCCCGAGCGAATTCTCCCCACATGCAAAATCAGCATTAACCCGATTGACAAACTTCTCCACAAACGCATCGGCAACATCCCCAATCTTTAATCCCGGAACCCCCACACCCTGCAGACTAGTCGCCTCCTTACCCTCCAGCCCACAAGCGACAATCTGCTTGAAGAACCACATCGGTTCATCCGTAACATTCAAGCCGATTCCAAAGCTGCTGATATTGCGGCGCAGATGCACACCCACAGCCGTGATCTTCCTCGGTTCCAATCCAGATCCTGGCTTCACCCACACCCCTGGATCTTCCGTCGTAAACCCCTCCACCCCGTAGCTCTTTAGTAGATCGATGACGCTGTTCTCTAAAACGCGGATGTGGCACCGTGGCGTTAGGCCTAGTCGCTTGAGATCTAGGATCGTGTACGCGACCATCTGGCCTGGCCCGTGGTAGGTTGTCTGTCCGCCACGGAGAGTGGGGTGGTACTCTGCCTTTGGCGGTTGGGTGCCATGCGGGGTGAGGAGGGAGCGGATTGGTTCGAGGGGTGGAGGTAGAGAGATGTTGGGGCTTGATGGGTCGGGTGGGCTTGTGTTTGAAGGTGGGAGGTCGCGGCGGCCGGTGGTGTAGACCGGGTTTGGGGTGAAGGTGATGATTGTTGGATCTGGGGGGGTGGGGGTGGCGTTTTGGCTAGTATGGCGCTTGAACTGGTTGGGTCTTGGGAGGATATTGAGCCTGGGGACGCGAGCTTTTTGTATGTGAGGAGGCGAGTTGTGAGGGTTTGTTGGATGTGCGAGACGTGGCTGAAGGGCGTTGTGTGGGGGAGGTGGAGGTGTGCGAGTCTCATTTTGGGTGATTTTGTTGATGGTGAAATGATTGAGGTACTTGGTGTATGATAATTGGATCTCTCAGCGCATTTTCAGGTTGTGGGAGAGAGGGTACGTTTTCCACGGAGTACGAGGTCGGTTGTTGCGGAGAAGCTGCAAGCTTGCCCCGATAAGGTTTGATAAGTGGCGGCCCTCTGTGATCACTGCTCGGTGGCTACTTCGAGTCTAACGGGTGGATTTCACTTCTATTATTCCTGCTTTAATCGTACCAGTACAGCGTACAAGTCATTTTGAGAAGCCGAGAATCTTAAGACAAATCAGCTCAAAGGGAATGATATATTGGCGCAAAATTCTTTAATGCGAACGGCAAAATTAAGTTCGAATCTCCCGAGGATATAGTGCCAATGCAGTAGGAATTATAGATCCATTGCTATACACTCAGCCATCTCTTGCACTCCAAATGGAACATGAGAGAATATCAACCCCAAACTATGAAAACTATGAAGAGGCCACGCCATTGACCAAGCTAGAGTCTTGCTGCTCAGCAGGAAGCAGAACCCAGTCGCGCACACCACCCTTCCAATCCGCAATACGACCCTCAGTAACTCTTACAGTAACGACCTGCACATCGGTATCAATGGAAACGCTAGGCCGTCTTTGGCTAGGATCCTGTTGCTGCTGCTGGCCGAATTGATGGATCTCCTCCTCCTCGAAGGTATTATTCTCCAAATGGCGGGCCTTGCACCAGGATTCCTCCTCCGAGCCGGATTCTAAGAACCGTGCCTCGCCTGTGATGGTAGTCGAGATACTGGAGAGCGCACTAGTGTTCAGGTTGAGCAGCAGGCTAGCAAGAGATGAACGGGTAGCAGCAGGTGGTGGGGAGCCGTCGCGGTCACCGTGCGTTGGGGCCCGAGTTGGTGGACGATGCGAGACCCAGTCGTGAACCAGCAATGAGACTCGCGGGTTGGACAGCAGGTGGTTCGTTTTCCGCGATGCGGGGTTTGTGGTCATGATGATGGTGGGGTGCGGATCGAATGGGGTCGAGGGAAGATAGGTGTAGGACATTAGTGAGATGTGGGGGGTTTTGTCATCGCATGTTGCCAGGTGCAGCTTGGTTGGGGCGATAAAAGGTCAGTTTGATGAGCTGTTTATCTGCTAAAAGTTGTTGCACTCACGAAGCGGGAGTTCTTCAGGCACGAGATGACCTCGGATGGCAGCGAGGTAGCGACATGGGGATGAGTTGTGGTCGCAGATGCCTCATACGACAGTGGGGGATTGATTGATTCGGCCATTGTCAAGATTTGAGAACCAAAACAGTGATAATGAAGTTAGAATGTCGGGGGCTGAGGGTCGAGATCTGCCCGGGGGCGGTGACCCATTACCCAATGGGTTTAGGCACCCAATCGCTGTTTATCCGACGTCATCACTTTTATGTTTGTCTATGGATTTCCATCTGGCCTGATTTGCGTATACCCCGATGTACGGCTATTATTGGGATTTTAGACTCAATTTAGGTGAACACAGTGCAACTTGAAATCCTCCAGTAACACGCGTATTGATGTGCAAGCGCGTGGAGCCTAACGTCATAGCGACAGGTGTATCGGATCTTGTATTGCACGATATTTGCATCGAGTACAAACAAACATCGTCTTTACTCCGTTCGTTCGTACATAAGTGGCGATATACGGAGTAAGCTGCACAGCATCCAATCTTAGGTACCGAGTACATCTCGGCGATGTCATCATTACCCACATTTTGGTGCGGATTGGCTGGTAAACTTGGGCAAATGGTACCAACACAGCCCGTCACTATTACCAAGAACTCGGGGAAGCTCCTTCCCCGCACAATGAGCTTCAATGAAGCATTTCCTTTGTATTGACTCGAAGTGTTCTACTGTGTATACCAGTACGGAGTACTACTGTGTAATCAATTCGAATTCTACCTATCTTCTGCCTTTTATTACTGGCATCCAATACTGGGCATTCTCGTCTAGTACACACATCACCGATCATCGCCCCCTTCTACAACTTTCCCCTGCAACTCCAGCCTGATCCCTGCACCTCTCCACTCTCCAGTGCTCCCCCTCCCTTCACTTTGTTTCCACCTTTACCTTTCACTCTTCTCTTCCCATCCCCCTTGATCCTATACTGCCCTTCCCCAACTTATTGTCCACTTCGGATCCATCATTGTTGTAATTTTTCTCCCTTGTTCGTCCCACACCTACCATAATGTTGGGTCCACGCGCAACGCGCTCAGCCCTCTCGGCGACTTCCCTTTTGCGACCCTTTAGCTCGTCAGCTGTGGCTTATCGTTCTCCCTCCATTCGAGATGTTACCGTCCAGTCAACCGAGGAGTACATCAGACGGCGAAAGGAGTTCCGTGAGAACTTAGAACAGGCTCGTTTGAGAAGAGAACAGCAAGAGAGTCAGTCGGTCAATGCTTCTACTTCTTCATCTTCCCCTTCCCGTGAGTACGCTCCCACTGCTCCACAAGTGAGCAATGCGAGCAGGCATGATCGTATCAGCCCTACTTTTGATGCTGCCACGGCGCTTGACCAGAAAGGACTGGGCTCACTCTCAACGCATCGCTATCTAGGGGATGACCAGCACCAAGAAGCTGCGGCCAAACGTGGCCCTTTGTCTTCGCTCATTTACGGCACCAAGGAGGGTCAACATTTCGATAAGGATATGGAGCGCTCCTTCTCAGAGGTCCTCGCTCGCGGCAAATACGTCCATTCGATTGTCATGCACGATGTTAAGCCCGACAAGGTTGATGAATATGTTGAGCTGGTCGGCAAGTGGTACCCTCGTATGGCGGGTACCGAGGAGAACCGTGTCAACTTGGTAGGTAGCTGGCGGACACAAGTGGGCGACAATGATACCTTTGGTAAATCCCGATCAAATGACCTAACCAATTTCTGTGGGCTGACTCTTGTCTGTGCTTGAATAGTCCACATCTGGGAATACCAACGCTACGAAGGATACCATGCCTCCCTTCACAACATTTCGGAACACCCAGAGTTCCGTGAGTTTGATCGCAAACTCAAGAGCCTGATTAAGAGCAAGAAAACTTCGTTGATGCAGGAGTTCTCGTTCTGGCCCACAACTCCACCTCGCCGTCTTGGTGGATTGTTTGAACTTCGGTCATACACACTGCACCCGGGCAATCTCCTAGAGTGGGAGACACACTGGCGCCGTGGTCTTACAGCTCGCCGTGAGGTGATGGAGGGTGTAGGCGCATGGTTCGTGCAAATTGGCGAATTGAACACAGTGCACCACCTGTGGCAATTTGCCAACTTGGAGGAGCGCAAGATTTGCCGCGAGCAGTCATGGGGTGTCGAAGGGTGGGCCGAGACCGTTCACAAAACTGTTCCCTTGATCCAGACCATGCAGAGTCGGATTCTTGTTCCGATGCCCTGGAGCCCTGTCGGCTAAATGAGAGCGGAAACCTTTTCCCTTGCCCCATGTCCTTGGATCTTAGCATCCAGGGAATATTCATTGTTTGATCAGGATGCGCGAGGTGTATTGACCGAGATTCTCGCCGTTACCCCATACCCTTTCCTTTCTGTCGGGATGCATACTATGGGTATAGACCCTTTGCATCTGATTCTGTATTGTTTAGGCATTATTCAAAACAAGTCCATCAAACCTCTTTTAGGTACGGAGTACGGAATTTCCCCCATATTAAGCTCGGATGCCACGAGCGCGCTCGGATGACCCCACTTGGCCTCAACACTTTGTAGGAGCATTTCATTGGCAACACCGGTGCTCGGACACTCCTTGGATACCTGCACATGAGTTGTCGACCTGTTTACTTCACAAGATCAACATTTGAAGTTTGTAGTCAAATCTCTTATTTACTTACACATACAATAACATAGTAATATATCAGTCCACAAAGATGCATATCTCCGATCTAATCTAAGACCTTATTTCTCTCCGCCGGCAGAAAAAAAAAAGTCAAAAGTCAACAAAACATCGAGACCAAGTGGCCTCTTTGACTCTTTGACTCTTCATCCGCCGATCTTTAATATTAAACCCCCTATAGACCTGACTCTACGGCTGTTTCTCCCCAAAGGAGACCTCATTTTCTTCTTCATTTCTTACACTCTTTTGTTTCCCTTTGTTCTCTATTACCTTTTTCCCGGCGATACCTTCTCCGATATCCTTCATTTCACTATCACACCTCGGCTCTAATCGCGCCTCGATAACTCGCAAAAGCGCGAATATTTAGATGCGAACATCACAACGCGACAACTCTATTAAATATATGCCCTCGCGTCCAGCACGGAATACCTAGGCAATAAACACCCGCGCGTTCATAGACGCGCAACACAACCCATAAAATGGTTTATATCCGGCACCATGAATTGGCGAATCTGAAGAACTACAAATATGTTGGAATCGATCACTCGCCTATCAGTCGCTTTATTCTCAAGCCGTTCTACAACAAATGCGTGATTCCCTGCTTCCCTATGGGGATGGCGTAAGTATACTCCTATACTTCCTCCCCTTACTTCCTTTCCCCGGATTTGTGTGCATGGGTACAAACCCAGTCCTCGCACTCGTGTTCTGTTTTCTGCATAGCAAGATGGATATGATGTTCATTCTATCTTTTGATCTCCATTTCCAATGATTTATACACAGCGCAATATGGCTGACTTGATTCTTTTGCTCTTTGCTCGTCTAAAGACCCAATGCCGTAAGTTCTGCCCCATGCGACACTGTTACAACTGCCGTATGTGAAAGGATCCTAATATATCGCTTCATTAGATCACCCTCAGCGGATTCATGTTCGTGGTAATTAATTTCATCACCGTCATGTGGTACAACCCGAACCTCGATACGGACTGTCCGCCCTGGGTCTATCTCAGTTGCGCGATTGGCTTGTTCCTGTACCAGACATTCGATGCCGTAGATGGCATGCAAGCGTATGTATACACTTTTCCGTCGGGACATTAAGGGGCGCTTTACTGATGTTGACTGCGCTTAGACGACGGACGAGACAGAGTGGCCCACTGGGCGAACTCTTTGATCACAGTGAGTTTACAAAGACAGTATGAAGAAAAATGAAGTGCATGGATGGCTGAGTCATTTATGTTATTAGGTGTCGATGCATGCAATACCGGTCTCAGCGTCTTGGTCTTCGCATCGGCAATGAACATGGGCCAGTCCTGGATGACCTTCATCGCTCTGTTCGGCTGTAAGTCCAACCATCCACATACCTTTCCACACATGAATTGTCGCTGAAAAACGCAGCAACGATGACCTTCTACGTCCAAACATGGGATGAATACTACACGCAAATCCTGACATTGGGTGTCGTCTCCGGCCCCGTCGAGGGCATCCTCACGATTTGCCTCGTCTACTTATTTACCGCCTACATGGGGGGCGGCAGCTTCTGGCACCAAGGCATGCTGGAGACCATCGGCGTGTCGAAGCCCAGCTTCCTGTCGAACTGGGTTTACAACATACCCTTCACGCACTGGTATCTCATCTATGGAGCCGTCGTGCTCTGCTTCGCCATCGGCTCAAGTATCATGCATGTCATGCAGGTGCGTCGCGAGCGAGGCCAGGACCCATTCACCCCGCTGTATGGCCTCCTGCCCCTGGTGGTCATCTGGACTCTCATTCCAGCCTACCTATACCTGCAGCCGGCGATTCTGGCAAACTACACCATTCCCTTCGGTCTGTTTGTGAGTCTCATCAATGCCTACTCTGTCGGCCGCATTATCATCGGCCACCTCACCCAAACGAGTTTCCCCTATCAAAATGTCCTGTTGTACCCGGTTGCTCTGGCTGTTCTGGACAGCGCGGGTGCGCTGATCGGTTTGTGGTCCGCCCCTGTGCTGGGGTATGGCGTTGGGCAGGTGGCGTTTGTGTTCGGGTGCGTCGGACTGGCCATCGGTGTGTATGGTAGCTTCGTGGTATGTTTTCCCTTGTCTTTCCGCTGTGCGTGACGATTTGCTGATATTGATTTCCTCCAGTTTGACATTATCACCACGATATGCGACTACCTCGATATCTGGTGCCTCACGATCAAGTACCCCTTCGTTGAGGAGACCGAGCGCAAGAATGGAATGCCGAAGAAGACTGAGCGCAAGAACGTTGTGTCCAAAAAGACCAAGTGAAGAGACCACTGTTGCAATCCGGAGAGTTTGTTGGGCTTGTGGATGAACAACAGTTCAACCTTAATCACCACAGGCGAGAGAGCTCAGTTGAGCTGAGTGGAGTCGGGGATTCAGTCGGACACTTGAAAAGAGCGTTGGACAAAATGCCTGGCTAATGACGTTTTCCAGTACATAATTTTGTTTTCCTTTCAACACAGAGCAAATAGCTCGGAGTGGCTATTGAGCGATAGAATATGAGAGTTGTAATTTTGCCGTTGTTTTGGGATTGTTGTAGAAGAATGTTGAAGCACCTGACTGCCTTCCTGGGGCGGAATCCACGTCTCCACATGGAACCAGCGATTGAGCTCGTGCTTACCTCAGTAACTTACATAATAAGACTTTGATTGGTGGAAAGTCCGCCGCCCTTCCAAATAAGGACAAGCGAGGGCACAAAGCGGCACAAAGCCCTACCTCCACCCAAACCGGTCCAAATCCCTTCAGACTTCTCTTGGAAGACCACCTCATCCGCATCACACAAGGCCATCGCCATCAGCGCCATTAATCAACTATCTCGCTGATCGACTTTCACTCGTCAAGATGGTAAGCCCATTTTCGCCCTGATTTTCCGCTCGGTCCCTGTTCGATACGATTACACACGGACAGAGGAGACCTATACGGATTCTCGATTCAAAAATTCAACGTCCACCCGACACTAACATGCTGTCCTCGATAGGTTCTCGCGGTCGATCTCCTCCACCCCACCCCTCAGGCTGAGGCCCGTAAGCACAAGCTTAAGGTATGAAACCTCCGATCTCCCGAAAGAAACACGAAAGATGTGAAAATATCAACCCGAGTGGCGAAAACCTCGATATTCGACCTGGACCCCGGGACCTCCGATGCTCGACATGGGGCATATGGGAAAGGGCACCGAACGACGGGACGATATGGCATCTTTTGTGGAAATAAAAGTGTTGGAAGAACAATGATGGCTGATTATCGAATCTCTTCGCCTACAGATGCTTGTGCCCCAGCCTCGCTCCTTCTTCATGGATGTCAAGTGCCCCGGTTGCTTCACCATCACCACCGTCTTCTCGCACGCCCAGACCGTCGTTATCTGCGCCGGTTGCTCGACCGTCCTCTGCCAGCCCACAGGTGGCAAGGCCCGTCTGACCGAGGGCTGCTCTTTCCGCCGCAAGTAAACGAGAAACGAATGAAAACTTTTTTTTCTTGTTATGTTCCGGTTGAAACGTCAAAGAGAGAATTAGCATGGAGAACTTAGGATGAAAATACCAAACCCGGGGTTGACCTCTTTACTTTTTTTTATCGTCTCGACTTCGGTTTTCGGTGTTTCGGGGAGAGAGTTGCTATTCTAGCCCAGTTCCATAAACTGGGTTTTCTCTCTTTCTCTCTTCCTACCGGGCTTCAAAATGTCACATACCAAACAACCCTTTTTTTTCAATATCACCCTTCCCCTACCGAACCACATGGACATTTCCTTAACTGTTTTTTTCGACTGGTGTTGGGTTGTGAGAGGGGGTGCGATGTGCAGATGATGTGATATGGTTCTTTTTCCATACTATATCAGTACGCTGATCCCCTCTTGAAGAAGACAAATTTGAATGTGGCCTTTTGGGCCCGTTTCTCATCCTATTTTCCACCATTGCCTGTTCTTTCTTTTACATTTCACGGTGATGATTAATATCTCAGCGTTGAATTCTTGTTTTCCTTGCGCGTGATGACAGATAGAAGATGGAATGCCCCGACCCTGTCAACGACCAAAAGCATTCTAAAAAAAAAAGCAACCAGCATTCTGCTAAGGGAGTTCCGGATATCTGGCACAAAAAAGGCACTTTGCTTGACTTTGTGCTCTGTTTTATGTTTTGATTTTCTGCTTTCTTGTGTTCAATGTTTAAATGTACCTGCGACTACTGTATATTGGGCTCTACACTCTATACCACGAGTTGTACCTTAGATCGCCGCCAATCGTAGACTGTAGATGTAGGGTTGTAGTTCTATACTTCCGAACATCGCATGTTGTTATATTACATGTATAGGCTGTCTAGTCAAATGTGCCATTTGTGCCGACTATCCAGCTAGAATGCACCGAATTAATCTGTTGACTGAATGGAAGCTGTGATACAATTATCATACAAAAGTCGCCATATCCCTCAACCGTCCAAACCCGAAGTGTCTATTTGACATGATCGCTCTTAATGTCAATATCTATAACGGACTCAACCGAGAATCCCGAGGAGAAAGCGGACTAGTAATGTTATACACAGCTACCTACATAGGTCAAGTGCGGGGGCTATGGAGGGTACGGATCAGCCTCTCACCGTATCTATACCCGACTATAGGGTGAGAAGTGTGAGCGCATATGAAGAATTGACCAGTCGATTCACTTGGCCTCAAGCTTCCTCATTCTCGTTTCAACCCGAGTGTAGCAGCGCCAGTCCCATAGTCTACTCCTCATCATTGCGGTCTATTTTGATGAACTGGGTCTACGAGCAATTTTCTCGTGGCGTTTATTCTTCCAACGAGAAGCAGGCACTCGAGACTAGTCTTGCTGAGTTGAAAAATACTAAACCAGAACTTGTATCCGTGAAACCCGAGGATGACATGTCTTTCTGGAACACTTTTACGGATCAAGTTCAAACAATCATTGGGGTGCTTGACTTGTGGCCCTTTCGGCCATACATAGCTCCCCTCACACAAGATCAAGCAAGGTTGTGCTGGCAATGTGTGTGTTTCCTTCCTTCAACCGGTGTTAACTTTGCTGATGTAAATACATCCAGCCCTGCGGTGATATGCGTTCGGCAGCAGTGCCTCAGTCCTTTGGACTCAAGATCGAGGATGCTTTTAGGACTTATGCCACGCAAGTAAATCAAAAGAACATATCGGGGAACGGCATCCCACTTCCTGATATAGGTATCTCAAGTCAACGCTCCGGAATGAGGGCCAGATCACAAACCGGAGAACCAGTTTCCCAGTCAGGCCTCAGCCGCCAATGGCATCACATGAATTCGATCATTGGTTCTATAAAAGATCATAGTCTCGCACTGCCCGACACCTACTTTCTACAGATCAGCACCGGGCAAAAAACACGAGGTGTTTTCCCCTAGGAAGCAGATCCGTGGTCGAAGAGAAGATCCCCAAACGAGAGACTGCTCTTGAAGAAGGAATCCCTGCAAGTGAGGATTTCTGGGGTCTGTACGTCGTAGAGAGACGTTCGGCATTCAGACTGGCGCTTTGTAGCCTCGCTTTCCTGGTTCCCTCGGTCTACTTTTTCTTCGCATGGCTGTTTCAATGGGGCCATACGGGGGATTTACAGAACGCCTCTATTCCAATTACGCTTTCACTAGCCCCCCTTGTGACGTTTTGGGGGTTTGTCCTATCTACTTCGCCTAGATTCGACCACACTCGAACATTGTGATATTATGGAAATATTACGCCTTTTTTGCTTCAAGTCGGGCGCTCTTTATATATTCAAACCGCAGTTAAGAAGACTATTGAAAGTCAACTCAGGGTTCAACCACTCTGTTCTATATATAGGGAGTACGGAGTGCATATATAGTTGTTACAAGATTCCAAGAATGCGGGTCCCGAGAGTTCCCCATCTCGCGCACGGTACACTCTCTGCTCTGGCACACATGAGCCCCAAGGTAACCAACCTCAAGAGGGAAAACCTGTGCTGTGGTCTGCCTGGTACTTTCTATATCTACTGTGGGTTACATGCTCTTCTCGTCTGTGTACACTAGAAGTGAAATATCAATTTGAAACTTCAAGAACAAAAGATTCACCATCAATTTCATTCTTCGTGTATGTACACATGGGCATGTCATGATAAGCGTTTTGTTGTGTACATGAAGCCGCTGGACAAGATATGCTAGTAACGAAGAAAAAGATGGAAAACACAGATCAAGCATACCAAGTCAGGCAAAGCTCAGCTTGCTCTTCACATCCTCTTGAATGAATATGCAGGAATGAACATGAAAATCCAAAATTAAATCTATTACTGAGCCAAAGCCAGAGCCTTGGCCTTGATCTCCGCACCGAAATCGGCAGGGTTGGAGGGGTCACCGCCGGTCATCATGGAGAGCTTGCCAGAGGTATCATTGACGAGCATGTTGGCAAACACATTGCGACCTTCAACCTCACCCACAGCGTTCTTAGCGCCATTGTCACCAGCAGCGTACTTTTCGGCGTCGACGGCCTTCAGCTGGTTGAAGGAGTCTCGGACGAAGTCATACAGGAAGAAGATAGTTGGGTGGGTATTAGGGGGCTTGCATTGAGGGTGTGACTCAAAGGCACTATTGGAGGTTGTTAGCAACGTCGTTTATCTTTCTAAAAGCTGGATCATTGAGGGTTTCAGAAAGATCTTTTGGGGTGGGGTGTGGGGTTGCGTGGGGGAGACATGCTCGATGAGAGCCTGCATCTTGACATTGAGATCTTGAAGGTTGGTGGTGCTCATGATTGCGTAGATTTGTGATGATTGTGAAGGTGGAAAATAATTCAATTGCAAATTGAATGTTTGTTGATGAAGCTGTTCAGGGTCCGAGTTTCCTATCTAGGACTCTAGAGGGGGGACCATTTGACCGCCCTGTTTTGGCCGGCCAAGCTTTTACCGCCTTGATATGTTGCCTTGATCCATCAATCAATCAGTTGGATCATCTGTCTAGGGTGGGACCCGTTTGCCCGCTAATCTCCGCTACTTTCTGCTCGAACTTGGGAATGCCGGACAACTGGCAAAATACTCATTGTGTGGACTGGTACTGGGATAGAAACCCTTCAGTTTTGTTCGACGGGTGATGCAAAGGCTAGTCGTCGATCAGCCAATGGTCCTAGTATAGATCTCCATTTGAAGCCATCAAGCCACTTCCCAGTTCAGTTGCAAACGACAAAGGCGCTCTGGCTGATGATAAGAAATACCAGGCTTGGATAGACGACGGTAGGGGCAATGAACCATATAGTGACATGTTAAACACATAGCTATGGAGGTCTAGCCTTGATCCAGCATCGCCTAGACAGCATCAACCGCCGAGCGGTAATCGGGAAGTATGTGTGATATTATTGGCTCCGTTGCATAGTCCCCGGCAAGCCTTCTGTCTCCATTGTTCACTCAAACTCTCCCGACCCGGCTCGTTAGTTGGCAACCTCTTAGAAGCTTCTTTGTGTGACGGTGCTCATCTGCCTACATCAAAGAAGACACACAAACGCGTACCAGCCGCAGAGTTGGTCGCGCTTATGAATAAAGCTGTAAGATCACTGCTTCAAGTGCCATGTAGTTGTGCTAGTTCAGCGGCTAAGCGGCTTGGCGGGCCGCTGAGAAAATACTCCACTCTTTATCTTATCGCGCCTACGAGGAAAAGAGTCACCTCCAGGGCCAATTTCTCTCCTTTCCTCCAATGTATAGAACAACCCTCACCTCCAAACCTTTAAGTTCTTTACTTTCTAGAGCCACCCATACCAGACACCTAGCAACAATGGCCCCCAATCCCACAACCTCGACGCGGCAACCGCTCAAACTGCTCATGCTCCATGGCTACACGCAGTCCGGTCCCCTCTTCCACGCCAAAAGCCGCGCTCTGACAAAACACATCCAAAAAGCCTTCCCCCTCCACGAAGTCTCCGCCATCTACCCAACAGCCCCCATCCGCCTCCGACCTGCCGACATCCCAGGCTACGAGCCCTCGTCCGAAGGCAGCCCCGACGATGAAATCGAATCCTACGGCTGGTGGCGGCGCTCAAACACCGCAAACCCGCCGCTGTACATTGGCATCGAGGAAGGGTTTGCAGCAGTTGCGCGCACACTGAAAGAAGAAGGCCCTTTTGACGGCGTGATCGGATTCTCGCAGGGCGCGGCGCTGGCCGCCATGGTCGCAGCCCTACTAGAGCCTGGCCGGAAGGAGTCATTCGAGCACTTTTCTAGGATAAGCGCCGACGGTGCGGCTGGGATGGCGATTCCGGCGCCGTTCGGCGAGGAGGGCTTCCAGCATCCGCAGCTCAAGTTTGCGGTTTGTTACTCTGGGTTTAGGTCACCTGGGGCTCGGTACAGGGCTTTCTATGAGGAGCCGGCTATCCAGACGCCTGTGTTGCATGTGCTTGGGTCTTTGGATGCTGTTGTTGAGGAGGGGAGGAGTCGGGCTTTGATTGAGGCTTGTACTGGTGAGCCTGAGAAGGATGGGTTGGTTGTTTGGCATCCTGGTGGTCACTTTTTGCCGAGTCAGCGGCCGTATCTTGATGCTGCTGTGCGGTTTATTCGGGAGCAGATGGAACGCAGCGATGGCTCGAATGATAAGCAGGAGGTGGACGAGGATGTGAATGATATGGACTTGCCATTCTGAGGGCGAGCACTTTGTATATAGACAGAGCTGGGTTTCCACTGGATTAAATTAGATTTTCTAGACTACGATGTAACACAAATACTCCCTTTAGGATAACGACTTGATGATTGCTACTGTTAAGATTGAAATTGTTCTGTTGTGGGGTCATATAAAGGTCAATGCTGCAACTTCGCTACTCATGGGTCTACCGGCGAATTATTTTACACGCGGTGGCAGTGATCCCGCGCCCAAGTTCCATACACGCTTTCATCTCAAAGTAACTCAATGCGCCTTGCCCATGTCACTGCGAGTGGGCTGGATACGGGCCATCATCTCCTCCTTGGTAATCAGATGATCGATCCGCTCAAGCAGACCCAGCAGATTCTTCATGTCACTGCTCCACTCGTTGAGAACGTCATCGGCATCCCGGGGTTTGGCAAAGTTGACCAACCGCGCGGGTCGGTCAATCTTGGCGTAGATAGTCTTTGACGTGACCAAGTCGCTGATGTACTTCTCGGTCTCTTCCTCGGTCAAATCCAGAAGCTGGTTCAGACGGCCCATCTGAATGCGAGTGTAGTACTTGGCTACTACACGGACATTGTGCTCAATGACACGCTTCCGCAGGTCTTGCCACCTCTGGTTTGCTTGGTTCTCAGTAGACTGCTTCGCCTCGGCGTCGAACACGTCTGTGCTGCACAGGTGGGGGCCGAATTGCTCGGCGACCATAGGCCAGCGCATCAGCTCGGGAATGGTAAACAGCTTCAACAAGCGGGATTCCTCGGGGACTTGTGACAGCCGCGAGTCTTGCTTGATGCGGTGCAAAAGGTCGGATTGTTCATTATCGTAGGGAGACAGGACAACGTAGTACACAATGCGGGCGAGTGACTAGAGTGAGATTAGCAATGGCCTGTATTCTGAGTTGAAAGGTTGTACTTACGGCACGCAGGTGCTCTGGGTTGTTTTCGACCGCCGGCGTGTCCAAGACTTCCCGGTAGTTCTTGCAAACCTCGAGATATTTGTTATCGTGGTTGGCCAAGGTAATCTGCTGTTCGAAGTAACGGAGCTTGAGATCTGTGACGTCGTCATCCACCTCCATAGGTGCCTCATCAGGCCCGCGGGTCTTCTCTCGCTCAGCTGCCTGCTCCTTGAGCTTCTCGATCTCCTCGGCGGACTTCTTCGGCTTGCGGCTGAAGTACTTCTTGTTGATCTTGCGGCTGAGAATTTGAGCCTGGGTCCAGTCTCCGCGCTGGATGCACAAAGAGACCTGCTCCAGGATGAATTCTGTCTTTTCCCGTCTCGTCATTGATCCAAATGTCTCCACTTGCAACTCACACAGGATGTCTGCCGCCGAAGTGAGATCACCTTGGGTCTTCTTGATATCTGACAGTATGCGGGTAACGCGGGCTCGCTCTACTTCCACAAAGATCTTTGCGATGATTAGCACCACTCCGGTCAATTTCAAATCCGTAATCAGCGTACCTTTCCTTCGGTCACTGTGCGCAGAGTTTCGATAACAGACATCTTGACCTCCAGACTAGGTGTCTCATCCAGGAACTTCATCACCGTCTGCACCATCTTCGTTGTGGCCTGCTTAAGTTGAGCATGTTTCTTGGATAAGAGCAGCACTTGGTCGTTGAGAAGGTTCCAGTCGCCGGAGTTCTTGCTGATAGTGACAATGGCAATCAGGAGTCGCGATGTAGTGGCAAGGTCGGATGCCTGAAAAAGAGAATCTTGATTAGTTTGGGTGGATCTGTAACTTGGATTGGCAGTCGGCGTCGTACCTGTCTGGATTGCTTCTCCAGGCCCAACAGCTTATCGATTGCTCCCTGGACATCAATCTAGAACATTTCAAGTTAGCATCAGCTTTGGTATAGATATTAACTCTAGATTTACCTTTGCGAGATCTTCCGCCTCCGGGATGAGCTTGTCGGCATCCTTGGTGAAGTCCTTCTCAGGCTTCAGCAGGCCGGACATGATGACGAATGAGGCTGGGGTGGCCGGTGAGTCAATCCAAAGAATTAGTAGGTTGGTCTAGTGTGAAGACTTCTTAAGACCCGTTTGTTGCGCTTGACAACGTGAGATTCGTGGAATGAAAGAGGATGAGATGGTGATGATGCTTGTAGCTCCGGTATTGCGCGCCCTTACGAGCTGGAAGCTCCGTCCCACGTGACCGAAACATCACTTTGTCTTCCTGGGACTTCTACTTCCAGTCCTCTTGTTTCTAGCTCTTTGGAATATTCCCAGCAAGTATGATTCAGTCTCCTCTGGATGTCTAGCCAATTAAGCTAGAACCGACAATCTGCGTATCGTTTTCTGGTCCATCGTTTCTGTCCACAGAATCAACTATTCCACAGAGATTACCATAGGAGGCTGGCTCCAAGCCATATTTTAACATCGCCTACTTATCTGCCAGGCGCTTCCGGGGCTATGAATAATCGTCCTATCACTTTAAACCGTATAATTCTATGGAGTACGTTGTATTGGCTGCGACGGCAAATGATTGTGCGTGGCCTTTGGATCACCGAATCGTGGTGTTTGCCACCCATACTACGGAGTACAAATACCTAGTTGGGATCAGTGGCAAATCCAGCGTGGCCAGAACTATACGGAGTATATGTATTGACAATAAAGCATTTCGACCCATTATCTTCGACTCAAAGCAAGGTGTAAGCAGATTGAGATATTAACGCTCATGTCTGAAGGCCATTCGTATCTCCAAACTGGACATGCTTAGGTTGATTTGGCGGTTTCCCCGTGGGCATACGAGATAGCGCACTTCTTCCACTGTTTGCCTTCTAATGTGTCGTACACTGCTGGCAAAAAGCTTGGCTAGGAATGAAGTAGACCGAATAATTGAAGACAGGAAATTTTCAGGCAATTTCATATATATATATATATATATAATTTATTCAAATTACTGTTATAATTGAATGGTAACTATGGGTTGAAGTGGGTAATCATGATAATTTCAGGATAACTCGCTTGGGAGATATCAAAATGCTTTTGTATCATTATTGTCTTGTATGCTATATATTATGCATGGGAAAACTGTTCTATAGGTAGGAAGTAAGCTTTCCACTGTATTCTTCATTTTATGGCTGCCCATTTTCATCTTCAGCTATAATACTAAAAGAGGGGAAATACTTAAAAAAACATCTTTCTTTGATACTTGAATCTAACCTCTCGAATATTATTTTGGGCCAAATGGATTAGATTCCCAGGTCCCACGTCGTCAAGGACAGAACTATACTCTTGTGAATAACTGCCCAGAACAGAATAGCGCAGTCTTAGAAAGGTAAGGGCCACGCACAGCTTTTACTTACACATCCGCACTAAGCTCTTTTAGGTAAGGCCACTGCCTTTTCCCCGGTATTCAAGATCACGTGGTTTCACCAAGCACGCAATTGCCTTTAACCGTTTTAGGCGATAAAGATGTATAGAAAATTTTGGAAAGAGTTGCGTGCCTGGTATATTGGCTATATATGAGTCAATGGTATAAGATCGACCTCAAGGATCTTTGTTTGACTCTTAACCACTCTTGAAACCACTTCTAAAGGCTTCCTGTCGACTGTGCCAGCATCATCCCCCACTTCGATAGCCTTATCGCCCGTTATCACCAATCGTGACAGGCATTTTACTCACTATTGATATCCGCCGCTTTCTCCGCGGAAATCTAGAAAGTCGGCTTATTGGGTGCTCTGTTTGTTAAATACAAGCTGCAAATCTCCTGGGCCTTTGAATCCCAGAGCCTTCCCCAATTGGTCTTCCTTACCTCTCCGAAAACGGCATATCGCATACTGATAGAGGCATTGGCGGGGCTCAACTTTTCGTTCCACTATACTTCACCATGAAAGACGCCTCATGCGATCCTGGTTCGCCCGCGCCACTGATGGCTGCGTGGAATACAGAATCACAAGTTCACTTGATTGTCGGTTCAAATCCTCTTGCCGCCGCTCGATGTGCGAGGAGCCTCGAGGTCGGCGCAAAGCCGATCCTCATTGCGCCGGAGACCGACAACATGCATTTCACTATATCTGAACACATTGCCAATGGCTCTGTCCAATGGATTCGCCATGAGTTTCAAGATGGGGACTTGACAATCTTGGGTAGAGAAGAAGTTGATCACATTGTGGACTTGGTCTTTGTCACTTTGGGTAGCAACAACCCATTAAGTATGACCTGCTTGTACAATTCTCAACCCACTCTTACTTACATTTTCTACTAGGTCCACATATATCAAAGCTCTGCCGGCGCCTTCGAATCCCAGTGAATGTATCGGATGCCCCCGAACTATGTTCTTTCACCCTACTTTCCACCTACTCAGACGGCCCTCTTCACATTGGAATCACTACTTCCGGTCGGGGGTGCAAGCTTGCATCCCGACTGCGGAGGGAGATTGCTGCTTTCCTACCCCAAAATCTTGGAACGGCTATCGACAGACTTGGTGCTGTGCGAAGGCGGCTGTGGGAAGAGGACAATGCTGCTGGGCTAGCAGAAGGCATATTTGATAGAGAGGACGACGATAGCGTAGGCCAAAAACACACCTTTAACAACTTGGTCACAGAAGGCGATGTTGCCGCTGCAAAGACAAGAAGGGTGCGCTGGCTATCTCAGATCTGTGAATACTGGCCTCTTCGAAAGCTCGTTTCTATCACCGATGCCGATATGGATGCTATCCTGAAGGCCTATACATCTGGCAGCGCCACCACAAATGGCTCAAACGGCCTCGATACCCTCCCAAAGAAGGGGAAGATCGTCCTCGCAGGCTCTGGCCCCGGTCATCCAGACCTACTCACCCGCGCTACCTACCACGCCATCCACAATGCCGATATCATCCTTGCAGACAAGCTTGTCCCTGCCCCAGTTTTAGACTTGATTCCACGCCGAACAGAGGTTCGCATCGCACGCAAGTTCCCCGGTAACGCAGACCAAGCGCAAGAAGAGTTCCTCGTGATGGGTCTAGCAGCTTTGAAGCAAGGACGGCAAGTCCTGCGCTTGAAACAAGGAGACCCATATCTATATGGACGTGGAGCGGAAGAGTTCGAGTTTTTCAGGAAAGAGGGTTACTCCCCGGTCGTGTTGCCAGGCATCACCAGTGCTATGAGCGCGGCTCTTTTCGCCGATATCCCAGCAACCCACCGCGGCGTATCCGACCAGGTTCTTGTATGCACAGGGACTGGCAGAAAGGGAGCTGCTCCAAACCCTCCTACATACGTACCTACTCAGACTGTGGTCTTCCTCATGGCTCTCCACCGACTTTCTGCTCTTGTGGAGTCTCTCACTACCTTCCCCGCCGAAGACACTGGTTCACAATCTCGCGCACTCTGGCCTAAGGAGACACCCTGTGCGATTGTTGAGCGGGCATCGTGTCCAGATCAGCGCGTCATTCGCTCGACCTTAGAGCACGTCTGCTTGGCCTTTGAGGAGGCAGGGTCGCGACCACCGGGATTGCTGGTCGTTGGTTCCAGTTGCCATGTGCTGCACAATCCCCAGGGCCAAAGATGGGTGATTGAAGAGGGTTTCCACGGATTGGATGAGCTCCGCAGCGAAGTGGATGCAATCCCTGTGTCAGGGGATGAGAAGAAGTGATCGGTTTTTTTTTCTTACATATATATATTTCCGAGCGATAGTTGCAAATTTGGTGGGCAATGTACATAAACAGCATTCAGATACCCCTAGAAATGAGATATGCATGACCATTGAAGAATATGATTTATGAAACACAAAATATGTATCTTAAAACATATGTAGGCCAATGTTGAATACGATGTAGACCTTTGTACGGAGTATGTATACGGAACAAACATGGGTGCGGCTTAGAAATTAGTGGACCCCGGCCCGGCGATGTTGATCACTCCACCTCACTCCCATCTTCAATTCTAACAACCATCCTCCCTAACCACCATGTCTGCCAGACCCGCAAAGCCAGTCTATTTCTCCAACGGGGAGGCTCTCCAGAGGTGATTTTCTCCTATTTCTGCAACAATAGATACCTGAGCTGACCAGCGTGTCCACAGCCCCCCATTTACCGTGCGACTTACCCGCTTCGTCGAGAGCATTTACTTCTTCTTGGGCCTGTACTTCACCACGCTCTTATCGGTATGTATCTCTCATAGCTTTATTTTATGCGACATCTTATTCCACTTTGCTTCTCATCTCACCCTGTCGCTCCTGTATACCTCGCGACTGGATCAATCTGACGTATCTCAGCTCGACTCCTACGCCGCTGCCGAGAACTCTTCTTTCAACGTCAAGAACCAGGGCAACAAATATAACACTCGCTCTCGCTGGGGAGGTAGCAATTCCTCACCTCGTGGAGGTGGTGGTGGTGGAGGAGGAGGTGGCGGTGGTGGCCCGGGCTTTGGTCCGCGGCGCGTGGGACGTGTAGATGATGTTCGTGGACCGGAGTGTGGGAGCTGCAAATAAGCGAACAGTCGAAGCAACTGGATTGCTGCTAAAAAGTAGCGCCAATGAGAAAAATGGGTTAGCACATGGGCTAAGATGTCGGGTCCGAGGGTCCTTTGGTTTGTCGTCTGTTTGGCGGGTGTGAAGCTTGTTATATGCCATGCATCCCGCAATGTACTTTTGATATTGAACTTTTATTTTGCTACAACAACATTCGACATGAACATATATCACAGGTTGATATTTGCCTATTAAACTTGATATATCGCTAGAACTTACCGAAACTGCTAGCCCGAGATACATACACTAGTCCCTTAGCGCCACAACACCGCCTCTTCAAGGTCACATCGTGTCAATATGAATCGCCCGTAGACGGGTCGTCATGATGATTCTAGAAGCGCCACGTGACAACCCCTCTTCCCCTCTATGCCAAGTTAGGAGATAGGAGAATTGCACACATTTCGGGAAGTTTTACCTAAAACCACCCCGGCGGCGTGCTCTACAACCCAAGGTACACTACGCAAACCGCCCAGCATGAGTGCCATCCCCCAAACGGACGCCGAATGGGCGGAAAAGTTAGCCAACATGAAGCAGCAGCTGCCCAGACACTCACTGTCCCAACCGCCAATTCCAACTCAAATCCACCGCACAATAGACCACACCCTCCTAACGACCCCAGTCGACCCCTCACAGATCGACACGCTGTGTAAAGAAGCCCTTGAATATGACTTCGCCACCGTATGCGTGCGACTGGAGCACGTCGCCCGTGCCGCAGGCCACGTCAAAGGTAGCAACACAGGGGTCGCATGTGTGGTCGGATTCCACGAGGGCACACACCCCACAGCTGAGAAAGTGCGCGAGGCCAAAGAGGCTGTTGCGCAGGGCGCTACAGAACTCGACATGGTGATTCGGTACAACTTGCTGAAAGAAGGCCGGTATACGGAGGTATACGAGGACATTCTTGCGGTACGCAATGCCGCGCCGTCGCCAATTGTCCTCAAAGCAATTTTGGAGGCGGCCGTGCTCGAGGAGGCGCAGATCACCGATGCGACAATTGTGTCATGCTTGGCTGGCGTGGACTATGTCAAGACTAGCACAGGTTGGAATGGCGGTGCGAGTGTTGAGCAGGTTAGGCTTATGCGCTTGGCGGCAGATATGTGTGGGTGCTCTTGCTTGATTAAGGCCAGTGGCGGTATACGCACTGCCGAGGCTCTGCTGCGCATGCTTAAGGCTGGAGCGTTCCGCATTGGAACCAGTGCTGGGATTGGTATTATGAAAGAGATTGATAAGGGGGAGATGCTTGAACAGGGATGTGGTCATGCGGTAGCTTGAGGTTTTCTGAGATTCCCCGGAATATGTCTTGTCTTGTAGGGAGGGTGTCGTTGGACGTCAAGAGGTGGAGCTTTCATACCGGAAATGAAGAGATATCACGAAGACAATGGACATCAATTCCTTACTTTTTTTTTCTCGAGGCCCAATATCTCTGTATGTAGTAGTTGTATAGAGATCGGCCCCCTGCGCATAGACCCAACGGTTTCGGCGCGAACAGCGGGATAAGAGCCTGGATGATATACAAGGATTGCGACCTTGCTAGATCCCAATTTCCATAGAGATGGCCTTTTGGTGAATAGGAAGAGAGAGACTTGTGGGGCTGTTCTGAGACAATTGTATCTGTCCTTGCGCGTCTTGCCACGAGAGCCCTGCATTGCCCCTTCGGAGTTGCCTCGCGAACGCCGTGATCCATTGGGAAATGTAGCCATCCCCTCCAAGGTACATGTCACTCGATTTTGTAGATGCAAGTCTCCCGTTTCTGTAATGAGATGATCATTGAGACACTGTAGCTCGGACGATCAGTCCTTTCAATCTAGTTGAATGTCTGAAGTGTTGTTCAGCATTGATGGCTCGTCCACCCGAAGACATAGATGACAACCGTCTCAAGGCGATACGGGAAACAACACCTGGGAAATCAAATTGCATCTCATATGCATAGTCATGAACGTGGCAGACATTTTATTATTGACCTGAAAGCTCCAAAATGTTATAGTATATACTAATCCAAAACCCTGCGCTGATCCCTTGACATGCGAAGCAAATATCCAAGGCTTTTTTTTTCATTCGTCGCTCTGATCATCAGAATCACTGGTCACAGCGCCATCGATGTCCATCTTTTGAATGACTGCATCACCATTGCGACCCTTCTTCTCTGCAGCGAGCCAGGCTTCCCGTTTCTTCGTCTCGTGTTCCTGCTTCCTTGCTTGCCGCAGGACTTTCTCCTGTTGTGCGGCCTCCTGCTTCTCATGTAATTCGTTGATGTAATCTTGCAGATTGGTGAGGTCTGAGCGCAGCTGTACAACCTCATCATCTGCATTATGGCGAGCTGTCTCATTCACTGCAACCTTCTTTTTGAGCACAGACACCTCGTTTTCGAGCTCAGTGATCTGCGAATCGCGGGCAGCTGTGTCTTCAGGGGTTTCCTTGGCGGGGGCGATGCTTGAGGCAACACGGGTAACTTCCGCATTACCAGGCTGGCGGAATGCCGCAAGCTCTGCAAGACCATCTTCGATCATGGAGGTAGGGAAGGAGGAGTGAGTAAGCGCCTGGGAGAATTGGTTTGGTTTGCGGGAGTCGGATGGTGCGATGATGTGCGTGTGGAACATATATTCTGCGGGGACGGCGCCAGGGGCATGGTTCGGGGCCGAAAGACCGCTATCATGGCGCGGCTTGACAATGGTGTGCGCCTTTCTCTTCAAATCAGAGGAAGGATGGGGAATGCCACCCGGAGGAAGCATGATTAGATTGGTGATTGGGTGGGTATAGTCAGCAACTGATGATGTATACTTCCGTCGCGCAACATTCCAAGACAGCACCTTGCCATTCGCGTGGCCAGAGAGTAGCGTGGTACCATCATATGTAAGGGAGATTGTCTTCACTGAGCCTGTTTCGGCTGAGGGAGGGAGCCATCGATCCTCCATTGACACCTGCGCAGGTGTTGATTGTACTGAAGGATCATGAAGAGGATGCTGAGCAGACTGGCTCCTATAGAAGTCTACGGACTGCACGCTGCCATCTTCATATCCCACGTAGAAAGAACGGTCGACGGGGTCTAGAGTCACAGACGTTGCGGACAGGGGAAGGAGGAAGGTCCTCAGTGCTCGGCCGGTATGATAGTCCCATGCAATAGCAGTGTTGTCCTTTGCGGTTGATACCACAATGTTATGGCGGCCATTGCTATGTCCAACAGCGAGAGAGGTGATAGCTGCGCGATGGTTGGAAAAAGTTCGGATGGGCGAGTTCGTAGGTTGGCGAGTCGCGCTAAGAGCGGGCTTCGAGAAAGAGAGAATGCCGGGCAAGGACCAGACATGTACGCTGGCATCAGCGGAGCCAGACAGGACAAAATTGGACGTCGGGTCGACGACGAGTGAGGTTACTGGTTGCAGATGGGAGGCCGTTGTGGCTACTTGGCGTCCTGTGCATGTCTTAAAAAGCTGTCAGACGCATAACATGGGGCAAACATGACAATCAGATTTAACATACCTCCCAGACAATTAATCGACCACCCTCGGTGCCTAACACCAAGACATCACCATACTTGCCCCCCGCGACAGCAATGCTGCGTATCCGCTCTGGAAATGGAACAATGCCCTCCTGATTACCCTTCTCTCGGTTGTACACGTGAATAACCGCCTTGTCTGCTTGGGCCGTGAATATATGGGAGGGGCTGACAGCAAGACAATTGGTCAGAGTTGAGCTCTTCTTGAAAGTCGATCGCAGTATCGACGTAGGCTGCAGTTCGTGGACGCAGACCCCTACATCTCTGAGTGAGGCTGTCGGAGATTTGGCGGATGACAGCGTCGACGCCACGAATGTTTCGGAAAGCATCAGGAATGGCAGAATGAGGTTATCATACGAAGTATGGGAGGTTGGTTTCAGATTGCCCATTCCTTCCGAGGTTTTTTTTTCTTAATCGATTGATAACGATATGTTTGCACTGTTTGGCTGGGCCGCCCAGGTGTAATCGCCGACCTCCAGACATCCACGGGGCTGTATGTGATCTATCCTACTCAATTTGGCTTTTTAACTAATGCAACCTTCTAAAGATATCCCCGATCTCTGATCAGACAGAGCAATTGTTTTCAATGCATCTATCAAATAATTGTGCCCTGTTTTATATTAGACGGGCCGGCATTTCGATCTATCATTCTTAGTCAGCGCCATCTGGGTCAACCATGCTCGGCAAGTATGAGGGATCATTTTGCCCCAGTCTTTCAAACAAAAAGATGGCTGTTTTCTCGATGTATTCTGACTGAATTTGGGTGCCCCGGGTGATTGATCCAAGCCCTCACCAGGCATTTATATCCAAACCTCCATAAAGTAGGCTGAGATGTACAATAGCATCGGCATGAACCAGATGCATGCAAGGGATGGGCTAGAAGGGGTGGATTGCTGTTGCGACGAGACACAGGATCCAATGAAGACCCGCTTCAATAAACCTTCGGGTCGATCATGTTGCCCTTCCCCAGGGCCTGATTCGCTATGGCTTCCCTTCTCCCCCTCTTGCATCCCGTATGTCTCATTCCAATTGCCCAGTCGGAACTTAGCTATGACGAGTTGAGGCAATGGACGGGGTCTCTCCACGTTGACGGGCTCCTGCAGGACTGCAGATTGAGATCTGGAGCCAATTGTTCCCCGACGTTGTCCTGGTTGCTCATCTTCTTGGAATGCAAGGACGACGCGACCTCATTCCCACTATTATTACCCTGGGCCGTGCCTAACACAATCTGACTCCAAGCGTTCGTGCTAGACGACGGACCCTCTTTTTACGCCCAAAGGGGGAATCGTCCCGTTGAACATTTTCCGGCTTTCATAGCAGGGTTGTTGTCCTGTCAAGGGATGTGCACTTCAGCCCGATGACCATACCCACCTTAAATTACCTTACTAGCGCCACAGTCGCTGTATAAGGATATATCGAGCCCCTGCAGGGATTCAGATCCATTTGTTTTGTCTTTAATCTTCAACAATAAACAAGCTGGATTCCAATCTCATCTGGGTTACTCTTGTGCAACACATTTTGCTTTTTTGCTTCGACCTTTCAGACCAGGATTCCTTTCAGCCGCGTATAGCACTGTCCAATATGGACTCTGGTGTGACGGATTTGCCTAGCCATGCATGTCTTCCGGCCCAGATTCAAACTCATATCAAAAATCAGGGCTCGAACTCGTCCTTGATGAGCCACGATGCGATGACAATGGCCGAGCGCATCCCGTCACCGCGCAGATGGTCTCCCACCTATATACCCCGAAGGCGAAGCAGACAGATGCCCTCACTATCATTTGTAGCGTCACCAGTGATGCCGCGCATAGAGTCGCAAGATTTTTCGACCTCAACATCACGGCGCCCCACAGATCGCGGCCCAGCAGCTTGCATGTCGCCTTTCCGCTCGGTTCGAAGAATGAAAGAACCATTTCAATTGATGCTTCCGACATCACCAGCGTCCCTCGATGGCCCTGCTCCTAACTTTCCTGAGAAGTCAACCAGGCGGACGAAAGCGCCGGCCGAGCACACATTACGAACATGGCGCTCAGACCAAAACCTGAATTCTGGCTGCCTGGAGGGTTTCGGTCTTCTACCTAGCCCGCCTATAACAGAATCTCGTCCCGCAAGTGCGGGTCCAGAGTTATCGTACTTTGATTTCCACTCATCAGATGAATCATGTCCATCAGGTGACAGACAGGCCGAGAGGGACGAATCTGATACTCGACCGGAGCGTTCCACAACACCCACAACGCTTGAAATCGGAGAAAGGATACAGTATACAGCGTACCGCCCCCCAAATTGGAAAAGTCGACCTCGAACCGATGTCATGAATGTTCATGAAGCCCACTCAGAGTTCGTACGGCAGTGCGATTCTGGTAATGCACAAGAGTCAAAAGCCCCATCTCCCAAGAAGCCTGTGTCTCCTAAGTCAATACACAGTGACAGGCTCCTCGTTCCTGGCAGCTCACCAAGACCTCAACGCCCCCGGACTGGGACAGTCTCAAGTGAAGCTAGTTGGGTGCCAAGCAACTTCTCATACTGCGAAAGGTGGCTGCAAGGAGTCCCGGTTGATAAGTTTAATGACAGAAGCTCATCCACAAAGGAGTTCACCAATCGGCGCAAGTTCCAGATTGTCGAGAATGATCCCCCAATGCCGAAATTGGACATTATTCCGGGAGCCAAAGCCCTTGAGGAACCTGTGGTAAGTTCATTGCTTTGCTATTGAAGAATGCCGTTCAAAGCTGACGCCCATCTAGAGATTTGTTGTCGCTAGCAAGACAAAACCCAAGCTTGTTGATATCGCTCGGCAATCATCACCATCCCTTCCACTGCTTCCACCACTCTCATTGCTGCCACAAATGGTACCGACGACCCCAGATCAACGTCAAGAGGAAGTATCCGCATTTAGCCCGGACACCCCGCTTAATCTGTCTGATAGTGGTTATGAAACTCGCGGCTCTCGCTATTCATTTGATAGTTACGATGATAGCAAAGGCGAGGATGGCGATGACGATGACGATACATATACCGATCCAGGGTCGTTGACCTCTTCGGACAGTGTGGGATCAACCGTGATTGGCGAAAGGCCCGAGACCGCGCAGGGGGAGTGTGAGGCGAGCCTACAGCCTGAAATTAGATCCGGCAGCGTGAGCCCCAAGGCATCATCACCGCCAACGGTTCACTCACCACCGCAGGCATCTATCAAGGTTGAAAAGGAGGATGAACAGCCCCGGCTATGGCACCATGACTGGACGCTGGACGACCACGAATGGACCTTAGATGAGCTGGACCACTCCGTGAAAGATTTCCCTCGTCACATGCTCCGGCTTGCATCTCCTGTCATTGTATTTCTTCGCAAAAATGACGAGAAGGCCCTCATTAGGCCCTTCCGCACCATATTCCCCGATGTGTCAGAGAACCTACTCGACTGTCTCTGTGCTGCACTTCTTGCTCGAAACTACCTCCTCTCTCTACCAAACCTTCACCGAACCAAACCATCAGTCTCTTCGCGCAAAGACGCATACGCCGTCGACGGCGTCCCGAAAAAAGCATTCAATACGCTAGGCATCCAACTTCCATCTGGGTCTACTAACAAGCCCAAAGACCACCTTTTCATTTCCCGTAGCAAGGACCTCCAAGCCCATCTCGAGCGAACTGTGGACAACCTGCTATTTGCCATCTGTGGCCGATCAGATCCTACTTTGAAATCAGCCGTTGAGGTTCTCGCTCAAGTCCTTGAAACCAATGCCTAGCATTGATCACTCCTTGCATCCAACTTTTCCTTGCCTCTATTACTCCTATTTTCTCATCACATTTGCCTACAACCCACCCTTCACTTTGATATCTCCTTTTCCTGAAACTTTTTCCTGCTCTCGCACACTCTTATCCAAGAACATTTCCTATCGACTCTCCTTGTTATATCTCCTTTCACATCCGTGCCCTCTACCATACTTGCTCTAATCCTTGAGGTCTCTGTCTCCCATATGTCTGTTCACACTTTTCGCTCTCCCCACTCTCTTTTGGTTTCTTTGGTTTCTTTGGTCTCTCTGGTTTCTTTTGATTTATTTTCATACCCTTGCATCGCGCGGTCCTTGGAACATCGGTTGGCAAATTTGTGCGTTGGCGGTCTAGCATCTATAATCACATATGTAGTTTTTAAATAGCATAGAAACCATAATATAATGGCATCATCCAGTATTTGAACTTCGCAGTCATGCATAGAAAATCCCTTTGTATGTTGTATGCTTTCAACTATCTCTATCTTTGACGACCGACAAGGGAAACCGACATACACAAAAAGATCGAAGTCTCCATCGTATATACAAGTGAAAAACAGAGGCCGCACAATGGATCCTCCTTTCTTATAGTCTGATAAGCATTATTCGCGTTCAAACTTCGTATAATCGCCATTTGTCCATGGACAGGACTTTCCCGCCCGATCTGACGCAGGTGGATGGCGAAATTGCTTAGTCATACTTTTCCGCGGGATTGAGCGATTGATCAGACAAACTCCAATTCGGCTTTCTCCGATTGCACATACACTCTCACATCATGGCAGCTCCAACAAGAAGTCTACGACGCCTGTCGTCTATCAATACCATATCTCCAGCATCAATAGTGATTGCTCCCATCGGCCGCCGAAGCTATGCTACAACGGACTCCTCATCCGCCACGAACACACCAGGAACCACACGGCGGAAACCAACAAAGTTCCAGGATAAGCTGAATGCAGGACCCTCGTTCTCAGATTTTGTGTCCGGAGGTCAAGATGAGATCCTCGACCCATCCGAAGCTTACGCCCTTAAGACCGCGCTCGTCGGTCCCGCCGGCCGCAAGAAGGAAATGACTCGTTTGCCCGAATGGCTGAAGACTCCCATCCCAGACTCGAAGAACTTCCAGCGGCTAAAGAAGGATCTGAGAGGATTGAACCTACACACCGTCTGCGAAGAGGCCCGATGCCCTAACATTTCCGACTGCTGGGGCGGCAGCGACAAGTCCTCTGCCACAGCGACAATCATGTTGATGGGCGATACCTGCACGCGCGGATGCCGTTTCTGCAGTGTCAAGACATCTCGCAATCCTTCCCCGCTCGATCCGCATGAACCGGAGAACACCGCCGAGGCCATCTCCCGCTGGAGCTTGGGGTACGTTGTGCTGACGAGTGTGGATCGCGACGATCTGGTGGACGGCGGTGCACGCCACTTCGCCGAGACCGTCATCAAAATCAAGCAGAAAAAGCCGAGTATGCTGGTTGAGTGTTTGACTGGTGACTTCCGCGGTGACACGGAGATGGCGGCATTGGTTGCCCGGTCTGGACTGGACGTCTATGCGCACAACGTTGAGACTGTCGAGGAGCTTACGCCCTTTGTCCGTGATCGTCGCGCTACTTTCCAGCAGTCTATTCGTGTGCTTGATGCTGCGAAAAAGGCTGTTCCGGATCTTGTCACCAAGACTTCGCTCATGCTCGGTCTTGGTGAGACCGATGATCAGCTCTGGGATGCCCTGCGCCAGCTCCGCGCTGTCAATGTTGACGTCGTGACCTTCGGTCAGTACATGCGCCCTACGAAGCGTCACATGGCTGTCCATGAATACGTGACGCCTGATCGCTTCGAGTTGTGGCGCCAGCGCGCCCTTGATATGGGCTTCTTGTACTGTGCTTCGGGACCCTTGGTGCGAAGCAGCTACAAGGCTGGCGAGGCGTTTATCGAGAACGTTCTCAAGAAGCGTCGTGCTGGCTCTGCCACTGCTGAGCGCGCTGTCGATCAGAGCGCTGCTACCACTGACGAGGCTACCCAGTGAGGTGTTTTGAATTTAGACAAAAATTCGATACAACTACATAAATACACCCTTTCATATTTACTGGTCTTGTCTTGTCTCGTGGCTTCATGCACATGTCGTTTAACCTCTTGGCGCTATCTTTCTTGCATCGTTCTGGGCTGTCGGTTTTGGGGGTTTTATACAAGGGGATTTTCGCTGGTTTTCTCATTTCAACATTTCAACACGAATTGTACTTTGTATCACCACCGGAGAAGTCACTTCGTGGCAGAGATCTGTCTTTTTAATACCAAGCTGCACTAGAAATCAACTCAGTGCAAGTTCTCCTATATCAAGTTTCAAAATGTCATAGATTATGGTCCGAGCCTGCTCCGTTCCTCAATCCACTACATCCCGCCTTCCATACGAAAGGAACCACAAAAGTCACACGCTATACAAGAATCCCATGCACTGTACTACGCATTGTGCAACACCTATCCACCACACTCGCAGACTCTGCTAAATGTAAGGACCGACATAAACACCACAACTCTTCAACACAAAGGAATCTCCAAACCGAGCCCTGAAATCACCTGTGGACGCCAATTCATGCTAGACTTCCTGAGGGGTATAATTTATCCAAAAAGTTAGATCAGACGGCATTAGCCAGCACACAGGTGTATAATCTACTAGAGTGGCGAGTCGCCCGGTTGGCTACTCTAGGACTTATTGCGCGTCGGAGGTCAGCTCGGCAATGTCCTCATTGTCCATGCCGAGCAGGTAGAGGATATCGACAAGGCTCTCGCCGTTGATACGGACGGGAGCTTCCAACTGGACCTTGGACTTGGCGCGCCAGGCGACGCCGAGGCCTGCAGCGTGGAGCATGAGGAGATCGTTGGCGCCATCGCCAACGGCCATTGTTTGCGAGAGAGGGATGCCGTGCTCAGCGGCGATGGACTTGAGGAGAGTGCGCTTGTGCGCGGCGTCGACGATGGGGTAGGATGGCACCAATTTTCCGGTCAGGGTCTGGGTGACCTCATCGATTTCGAGCTGGATGAAATGTTAGATTGGATGAGATACAAATAATGAGAGGAAACAGGGAGGCTTACATGGTTGGCAACAGCAATGTCGATACCGAGCTGCTCGGCGAGCCACTCGGCGAGGGGCTGGAACCCGCCACTCACCACCGCGAGCTTGTAGCCCAGATTCTTCAATGCACGGCAGAGCTCACGGGCGCCCTTGGCGATTTTCAGGACAGACTTGAGCTTCTCGAAGACATCTGCGGTGACGCCGGCAAGAAGACCGACACGTTCCTTCAGCGATGCAGCAAAGTCTAGTTCGCCGTTCATGGCGCGTTCAGTGATTGCCTGCGTCGATGTTAGTCACTGGCATAAGAATTTGAAGTCTTCATAAGAGTAACTTACGGAAACCTCCTTCTCGACACCAATAAATTTGGCGATTTCGTCAATGCACTCATTGTCAATCAAGGTGCTATCCATGTCGAACACAGCAAGGCGCTTGTGCCGACGGAAGACGCTCTCCTTTTGCAGGACAACCTCGACATTCCACTCGCGCTCAAAGCGCCAGATGCTCTCATGCTTACGCAGATCCGGGAAAGAGAGATAGTCCGGGTTCGGCGGGGGAGAGAACGTGACCTCCACGACGCGAGGGTGTTCGTCGCGGTCAAGACAGCGGTGCGAAGTGTTCATGCGCTGATAGGGAGTAGGGAGGGTTTCCAAGATCTGAAGGAAGTTGGTCAAGCACAGCTGAGAGACGTATGGCCCATACAGGTGATCAAGTGGTTCTGGCTCCGGGGCAGGTGGCTCGCGCGGGAACTTATCCATGTCTTCTGTTGGGGCAGAGCCTTCGGGCACCTTGGGAGCTGGGAGCTTGTCGCCTGGGGTATGTTGGCCCCCTGAGTCGGGGTGGTAGTGGGGGTGAATGGGATTGTTAGATTTGTAGTAGATGGTCGCGACGATTTGCGACGTTCCGGTTGGAAGAGGATTTGCGTGGTGATTGAAGATACTGTGGATGATGCCGCTGTCGGTGACTCTCTCCGGATCTGGCTTGATTGGATTGGAGCTGAGTACAAGGTGATCGTCCACCTGAGTCGCCAGAACCTCGCCGATAGTCTGAGTGATTGGGTTGATTGGGTTGATTGGAGCCATCGGTTTGTACTGCTGGTGGTCCTGCAGGAATGAACTGCTGCGCATTTGGCCGAGAGATGGCCTTGTGGGGCGGGTGGAATCTGCCATGATGTACTACTGGTGAAGAGATCTAGTACAGAGTTATTCGCGGGTTGAGGCTATCTTCAAAGATCCCACACTTCCGAAGATCAAAAACGACTCGCGCCGATCGGCACGTGGATTCGGTCCCACCAGAGAGACACGTGATGATACCCCCCTTTCACGTGTGCTACCGCCTGGCAGAATTGACAATGAGGTGGCCGACACCACCTCCAGGATGAAGATGAGCTCATTTTGGGATAAGCATCTCATCCAGATCCACCATGACTTCAGAGTCAGATAGTTCTAGTTATGGACATGATAAGTTGTCCAAAGCATGTGATATATATAATTTGATATTCACGAATCCCCTATCATACGCGGGTTTAGTGATTCAGAAACCTGCTAACATTATGTCATTTAGGAACCAGGAATGCTCCCGGATTTATTTATCATCGATTGGGTTGGTCATCACCAATTACCAATATTCCGGGGGGTAACATCACCGGAAATCCATCAGCTACAACCTAAAATGACATTCTACGCCTTTCTCAGAAGGGCAGAATCGATTTGGATATTCTGCCAGCCTGGGCACACGCCTTCCATGGCTTCACCGCCCTTTTGAGATGACAATGCCCCCGTTTACAGAAGGCGGTGGGGTGTGAGAATTCAAGCACGCAATCGCCATCGATGGCGTGCTTGGGTGGTTTTCATTCCCCACTGTGATCATTGACCAATGGCATCGTTGGATCTTGGAAATGAAGAATATCGGAATCAAGAGGATGCCAGGGACGGACCTCCGGATGATGTGATTACCTCTGGTGTTCTTATATTCTCGCTCCCATTGTCTGTGACTTAGTTCTTCATACTCCTCGATATTTCCATACATACAATCCTTTTGGTCATCCTTCTCAAAGATCTCTCTGTGCTATTTACATTATGCCGGCCAAGATGCCCACAAACTACTCCTCAGAGATGGAGGGCATTGACAACCACGATGGAATGACTGAATCGGGCTATGTTAGTGCTGGTTCTGGCTCTAGTGAGGACTACGTCCCCGAGATTGTCTTTACCAAACCCCATCTTCAGTTCCTCAACCGCCAGTTGCAATTCCTTGAGCCTCAAGGTTCGTACTCATATACATAACCCCTCTTTCCAAAGACTCTTGTATCTGACTTCTCCTTATAGAGATCTTGAGATGGTGCATTACTTCGCTTCCTCATCTCTTCCAGACCACCGCCTTCGGTCTTACAGGTCTTGTTACTTTGGACATGCTCTCGAAACTGCAAGTGCCTCGTCCTCAGATGGTTGATCTCATCTTCCTCGACACTCTCTATCACTTCGATGAGACAATGTCACTGGTCGACCGTGTGCGTCGCAAGTACCCCAACAACAATGTACACATCTACAAGCCCGCTGGCGTCGACACCACCGCCGAATTTGAAGCCAAGTACGGCACCAAGCTTTGGGAGGCCGATGACCAACTCTACGACTGGGTGGCCAAGGTTGAGCCTGCCCAGCGCGCCTACCGTGAGATGAATGTCCACGCTGTTCTCACTGGCCGCCGCCGCAGCCAAGGCGGCAAGCGTGGTGACCTTGACATCATCGAAGTCGACGAGGCCGGCCTCATCAAGATCAACCCCATGGCCAACTGGTCCTTCGGCCAGGTCCAGCAGTACGTCAAGGAGAACGATGTCCCTTACAACGAGCTCCTTGACCGTGGCTACAAGAGCATTGGTGACTGGCACTCCACCCAGCCCGTTGCTGATGGTGAGGACGAGCGTGCTGGTCGCTGGAAGGGACAGCAGAAGACCGAGTGTGGTATCCACAACCCTCGGTCCAAGTATGCTCAGTACTTGATGGAGATGGAGCTCAAGCGTCAAGAGGAGGCCCTCTCGCAGGCTTTGCACACCCAGTTGACGCCTGTTGTCTGATCTTTCCTTTGATTCCTTCCTGCATACCTTTCGGCGCTCCTTACGTGATACCTCTCTGTTTTCCCCCTGTTTTTCTGATCTGTTTTCAAGCGATTTGAATTTTTCCAAGAGATGGTACAAAAAGTACTCTTTGCATTTACATCCTCCCCTGTCTAGGGAGTTGAGTTTGGTTCTCGGCCCCACAATGGGGACTTGTTGAGACATGATAATGATATTCATACGATGAATGAAATAAAATACGATCATTTTACATTATTGCTTTTCACTTTTCTATTTTTGTAGATGTGAATTTGTTTAAATGGCTTCAAAATCCCTTTCGATCCTTTGATTTGTGCTATAAGTAGCGGTCACGTGCGGAACTAGCCCTAGTTTTCCCCGATCATCAGGCGTCACGGTATCAATTTCTCAAGTCCAAAATAAATACATTAATCGTGCGTGAGAATCCCTTCTATTTCAAATATAGGAGACTTGCATGGTAGGATAAAATAGAAACATGTCACTCGAAGATGTTGCCGTCAACATCAAACCCAATGACCCCGGGGATCTGTCGCTTCGTCTACTGATACCTTTGTGTATAGAAGTCGACACTCAGTGACTTATCTTGCAGGGGCAGTATATGAGAAAGAGTGACGCATTCAGTAACTCATCGAATGCAGACCTTCTACCAGTGACTCCAAGTGAGAATGCGAGCCCAAGCTTTAATATCAATTCTGCATATCCTTGTACGATTCCAGCGAGCTCAAATTATGAGTGGGGGCCTCGAAGCCTACTCCATAATACTGTATTACTTTCCTTCTCAGGAGGACACCTCACGTGTTTGATTCTGAGCCTCTTGTAGACAATATCACAACCGGGGCGGAGCATCAGGAGCTCAGCCACCTTCATATAGTTGTAGTGTTGTCTCCTAAGGACATTCTCTGGTATATGGGCAAAGATTTAACTTCTCATATGGATTGGGATGTCTGTCCTTCGTAGAAACCGAAGTATAAAAATACAAGAACAAGAGCGAGGAGACAAGCTCCATTGACTGGGCCAAATAGGATGCCAAAAGAACTGATTCTACATCTTGCAGAGACATGTTGAAAGAAAAAAATATCAAAAATTTTCCAAATTCAATTGACACCAGTCCTGCATACCTGACCGTGGGCCGCAGCGTTCTCAATTTGACATTCTCTCGAGCAATACGAGACTCGCGAGCACCGAGAGCACGGATGCAGGGGCTTATTCATCGATGGAGTAAACCCACAATTCTCGCAGCTCATCTCGACATTCTCGACACCATCATCTGGGAGATCAAACATAGCCATAGCTTCCACCATGCCCCTGCTCCAATTCGCCCAGCATGCCTCGACACTGCGAAGCTCTTCAGCGGTAGTGACGGCAACATCACACAGTTCACTTCTGATGCCGATTTCCTGACACCTACGAGAAACGGCCTGCGCAAGGCTCTCGTCGGTGGTGGTCCAAGTGAACGGCGCAAATGGTTTCAAGTTGCTGGCCATTTGGGGAATCAAGCCCGGCTCGTCGAATCGGTTGACAAATGCCTCCAGTAGTAAAGGCACAATGATTCTGGCTTAGGTGTCTGGAGAAAGAGGGGAAATTCTAGAGCGGCCCTCACACTCATGGTGGCTTACAGCTTCGCCTGGAACCCCGGGAAGAGCCTTCACGGAGAAATGGTAGTGGTTGCGTTTTCCGAATGCATTTCGCTCCGGGCGTTGGGGAGTATTCATGCGCCTTAATCGTGAGGCGGTAACACTTGCCATTGTTTAGTTCTATGATAGAAAAAAGAAGGCGATGACGTCTTGAATTCTCTGAGTTTGGTTACGTTCAGTTAGCCTTGGACGATCCATGGGTGGAGAAGCTTGGCGCCCTGATCTCTCCTTTTCTTTAATCTCGATAACCTATCTCACCAGAAAGGCTGCAAATATGTCCGCGCAGTTTTCTCATATCAATGTTGCGAGATGGTACATCCAGGTGATACCTCAATTTTGGGGAAGAAGGGCTAGGGTAGGTGCCAGGCGCCAGGCTAGTCCTACGTCAATCATTGGGCGCCCGGAGATGGAGTCAGCTTAGGATATAATTTTGGCACCCTTCCCTCACCCCTGTTTCTGTTGCTCGGTTTCTGATACAAAAATCTGTGTTCGATCACGGTGAGGCGGCTTCTGAAATTCAAAGTCCGAGGGGCAAGCAGCGGTGATCCCCAGGGGAACAGCGCGATCACTTCTTCACCGCCCATGGGGCCCGAGATGACTGCACCTTCTCCAACTTCAAAGCCTGCTTCCAGGCTCAAATCTCAGGCTACTGGCCATTTGGTAGTTGTTGCTAGTTCTTCTTCGACCTCCGTCAAACCTGCACAGCCACAGACTGAGCAGGCTGTAGCGTCTCTGTCGCCCTCTGCAGGTTCCTCGCCCATACCATCTCGAAGCGGGAGCCAGGACATCGGCGCATGGAATGGCGCCTACGAAGTGGCTGAGAATTGACAGCCTGAATTGATGAGAGGTTATGCGAGCCACCTGGCCTCTTCACAAGGGACCCCACTACCAAAGTAATTGTATTGAGCTCGGAATTTGTCGAGAATGCCATGGACCGGCTGTTGGAAGACCGAGAGAAGAAACAATGTCATCATTCGAAGGCAACCCAAGAAGCTAACAACACTCCTCTTATGGGCTGACGACTGTTTGTCACTTTTGTTTTGAAGATTGGCTATGAAGACCGCATGGATGGCGTCAATGCTTCATGTCCAAGAGGCATCGTTCTATGGGCATCAAGCTGTTGTCGACATGTCACTCAAGAACGGAGCTGATGTCAATTTCCAAGGCGAAGGGAATAGCACAGCGCTTCAAATGGCTGCGCGAGAAGGTCATGGAGAAACTCTTTGCATTGCTACTCGATCATGGGGCCGATGTCATCATCAAAGGGGAACTTTATGGCACTGCCCTCGATGCGGCAACTGAACAAGGCCACATGGAGATTATGCAAATACTAGCTAAGAAGAATGCCGATGTTTGATTTAGCACACGGATCGTCAAGCCCAATCCAAACTGATGCACGATTCTTTCGTGGCGATCGCATGAGATTATTTTATTCCTCTAGTGCTGCGATCATTCTTTCTAAAGCCTCGCTCAAATAGTCATTGCCCTGTGTAAACACAATTCGGAACCACCCGTCCTTTTCTGACCCGAATAGAAAGCCGCTAGCTAAGAAGACCTTCTTTTGCAAAAGGCACTGCATGACTCGTTCCCCGACAACCTCACACTCATCCTCCGGGTGCAGCTCGCGGTATTTCTTTCCGAGATTCATCCAGACGAAGAATGCAGCATTGCATCCTGTTGCATATTCAATCCCGTGTTCTCTCAAATAGTTCGCCGTGTGTGCATAAGCCTCAGATAGCAGCTTCTGATTTTGCTGAATATATCGATTGGTGAAGTCGAAGTCTTCAAGCAAGAGGGCAGTCAAGTAGTCTGTGATTCCAGACGCATAAGTATAAAGCGAGGGCCCAGTTAAAGCCATATGAACATCACGATTGGCCTGGGAAATGATAACGCCGAGTCTGATACCGTTTGCGCCAAAGTCTTTACTCATACCCCAAAGGACATGAACCAACCTCGGGTCAATGATACCAGCGAGATCGATTGAGAGAGCTGATTCGAATTTGACAGGTGGGGGGTATTCATCGACAGTATTTTCAAAGACGGAAAGAGCATAGATTTCATCACTGATGAAATGCACCTGGTATTTCTGACACATCTGCATCAGCTTGACGAGCACTTCTCGAGGATAGCAGCGTCCAAGCGGATTATGAGGATGAGCAAGCATCAAAGCCTTGACTTTCTTGCCAGTTTTCTGGTGGAACTCCAGCAATGCTTCTTCGTACTTATCCACACCCTCCAGGCCGAGAGGATCGCATTCGCCAAAACTAACAGGAACCACACAACTCCCCGAACGAAGCGAGATATCAGGAATAAACGTGCCGTAGTACGGTCTTCCTAGAAGAATTCCCTCCCCGGGATCTGCAAATGACCATACAACATGCTCAACTGCAGACGAGACACCGTTGGTCGCCATGATATGGCTGGGCTCGAGGGGCGTGGCTGGCTTCATATGGTGATTCAAAAAGCCGGCGACGGCGGCCTTTAATCTGAAAGAGCCACATCCGCCGTCGTTGTACGTGAGATACTTTGCGGGTAGCTCGAGTTTCTTGTTGATGAATTTTAATAGCTCGTGGTGCATCAGTGTGTTTTCTGCTACGCCCACATTGACGTATCCATTGGGGTTTGATGATACGTCCCATGTATCCTTCATCACATCCCACATGGGGTTCTCGGATCCGGCATCGACGACATTTTGTGCACGACGGGAGAGCACTGAGTGGGTCATTTTGGAGGTCTCGGAAGAATTTTCACAAATTGAAAACACGAGGCCAATTGAGTGTAGATGATGGGTTCGGCAGTAGTTGGCAGTAAAATATCTCCTATCTCCTTTAAATATGCACAGGCCGGCTAAATTCGGCTGCCGCAAATGGCAAGTCTTGACTTTCTCTCCACATCCCGATATCTGTCATACGCGAAGGGCGTGGGCGGTGACAAGCGGCCCCGGGGGTCATGTTAGGGTTGCCCAGTTGATATTCACATCAAGTCTCTGTATCATTCTATTCAAATCTAATACAAATCCCTTCTATTGGCATTTTGTTTTCTCTTTCTTGACTTCAAGTGTCAAGCATGGTGAAGATACCCTCCCCACATCAAAGGCCGAACACCGAACTACAAAGGTCCATAAATGTTTAGAGAAGGACTTCGGACTCAACACTCGGTGTGGTAATACAGATCGACTAGCTTCTTTCCCAGTCAGCCCGTGTCAATTCTTGACTGGGCAAAGTTACTAGCGATGGACATATTTGAAGTAGCTAGTCGATCTGTGTTACTACTTCAAATACTCCGTTCGTCGTCCTTCGCATATTCATTTAGTAAAGGCGACCAGTTTCAAAGATTGCGTGTATGTCAATTTCTTAATCAAGTGCAAAACATGCTGAATCCAAAAGTCCACCGTATCTGTGAGCAATGATTGACTAGCACGACTCCCAACTCTCCACATCAAACCCAGGAGCCTAGGAGTATTACCAGATCGATCCGTAGATCCAAGATCGGACACACATTCGAAAGAAATTTCCAAACAACAATAAATCAAGATATCCTGAGGCGTCAAGCTCACCCCACTGGAATGACGATAGATAGGCCTCTGCAGATAACCCGAAGGACTCGCAGGCTGGGCTTCAAGTTCCTTGATATCCGTCGGTGTAGCCGTATCAAAACCAACAGCCTTTGCATGCTGATTGGCCTTCATTACAGCATCGAGCACGGCCTCATTGCGCGACTTCCCACCCATCTTCTGTCTAGTAGGTTACGTTGACGTCGTACGAGACGGTGTATTCGAATTCACCTGCTGATTCTATGGTGATGTATACCATGGCTCACTCTGGGAAGTGACTTATGGTAAAGTGACCTCTGAGTCTGATGTTGAGGGAAGGCATGGTTGATGGTTATTCGATGAGGAAGGAGAGAGGAAGAGGAAGAAGATAGAAAAAGAGACTCAAGGGTTTATATAGTCCTCAGAACACCGGATGGTGGAACAAACATCTAGGACTTTCAGATTCTCAAGTAGGTATATGAGTGAAGGATGTTTGAATTTATTTTTCTCGAATAGAAACCAGAATTTCGACCAACCCTGTTTGACGGACTAGTATCAATCCCAACCCTGTTCAGTCTCAACCCAGCAATTGCTCCTGCTTGGCACCCTCAACAGGAGCAAGGTAAGCCGGACGATCCTTGATATAGAATTCGACATCAATCTTTCCCTTAAGATTTGCCTCTCCTCCATCCAGAGTTCCAGCCTTGATGCAAGTCATATCAGGCATGATCTCCAGTTCTGTATAGAGATTTGAGCCACAGGTCGGGCAGAAGAAGTGCTTATTGATTTTCCCACTATTTCCAATTGCATCGTAGGAATTGGGAGTGCCTGTGTAGAAGGTAGGAGTCAGATATAAGAGTTGATCGTAGTGGGAGGTGCACTGTCTAATATTACCCTTTGTTATTTTCATGCTGGTGCGGGGGACGACTGCATTGGAGGTAAATGCACCGCCAGACCACTATTTGATATTAGATATATAAGGTAGAGGGCATTGGTATGGAAGTATAACTCTTGGGGGTTTACCTTCTGGCAGTCGGTGCAGTGGCACAGAGCGGCCGTATATGTGTCAGCTAGTATGTTGTTAGCATTGGAAGTAACTGAGTTCGATGAATCTACCTTCGACAGCGTAAGTAACGCCACCACACATGCAGCTTCCAGTTAAAGTCATCTTGAATGGAGATCCCTAATGTATAAATTATATGCAGAGAAGTGTGTACCTTGGGGGAATCCAGGTCAAAGCGGGGTGGATGTCAGCTTTTATGTCGGACCAGGTGTCGGTCACTTCGGTGTTTGATCCGAACACCGAACTTTCTAGACTCTCTCTGCAGGTTTGCGAATTTAGAAGCTTACTACTTCTGGAATTGGACATCAAAGGCAGGAAAAAAAAGATTGACATCATTCCTAGAAACAAGAACCTGCTTTATATACATCCAAGAATCAAAGCAGTCAGACCTAACGCCAGGTCTCTACCAACGCAACATTAGAGAATCAGAGATAAGAAATAAATGAAGGTAAAAGTTGACACAAGACAGCAGGTATATCACTTCAAGATCCACGTGAGAAACGTCATTGGATAAAAAAAGAAAAGGAAATTGGCGAAAGATAAGGAATGACAAAAAACCGGGGTATAGAGAGGATACATGACTGCGAAGCTTGATCGAACTAGAAATTGGAGACATTCAAATGCCCCCGGGGCAAAAAGGGGCGATGGGGTATTGACAAGGAAGTGAGATGGTTTGTCCACGGGGACAGTTGATCAAAATGCCAGCACTTTACAATATGGAGACGAATACTCCGAGGCCAAGCATCATTCATGTTTTCGGTTTTTTATGTGTACCTTCCCCGGCGGATCCACCGTCTGGGCTTTTTCTCTTCTTGTCTTGTTCGTCTTCTCGAGAAAAGCTGGGACCGCTTTGTACTGCCGGAGTCGGGAAGGTGAGGGGACTGGGCAGCATGTTGGAGTCGGGGCCGGAGCGGCCAAAGCCCCATTCAGGGAAGAAACTGGAAGGTGATGGGAGGAGTGCATCGGATACAAATCGGCTCGGCAGGGCGGATATAGGTGTTTCAATGTTATTCGAGTTATTCCCGTTGTTCTGATTTCCGTTATTGCTGCCGTAGGAGTCGTTTCGCGTTGCGGAAACGGGTGGAGGCGGTCGCGCGAACGGGTTTGGAGGTCCCTGCGCTCCCGCACTCACTATTGCACCGGCCGATGGCGACGGAGGGGGTAAGACCACGCCCGGGGGTCCATTTTCAGCACTTCCTCTCGCAGGCGTAGAGGTCCTATTACCAGCGGAATCACGTGATGAGTCGGCCGTGGCACTACCACCATCGGAGGTTTCGCTAGGAATCTGCACCTTCAACTGCGGTCGTTTTGATGGCAATGGCCCACTGTTAGTTCGGGATGGTGGTTTGATTTTTGGCGTCGAAGCAATTGGCCCTCCACGAGGAGCTTCCGTCGCAGCTCTAACAGGCATTGATTTGGAACCAGATGAGGCTTGTGGTAGTGCTTCAAGCTTGAGAGGGTGGTTATTGTGGGATTCATAGGATCCCGCTCCAGGCCCGAAACGGGCGAGCACCGATCCTCGATCATCAATAGGCGTGAAAATACTCCGTGATTTCGATAGCGACTTCATTTGTGGCGGCGATTGGCTGTGCTCTACTTTCATTGCACCCGAGGAATCATCCTGGGGGTGCTCCGAGGCAGTCCGTTCTTGGTGACCGTCGGGTGCAAACCCTGGAGGCATCGAATTTCTCCCATGTTCCTGCATATATGCCTGCACATGCTGGTGGGGCCCCGGAGGCATTCCCACGACGTGGCCATGCTGTTGGAAATGCTGTTGGCCGGGGTGCTGTGCCTGGTGCTGTGCTTGGTGCTGGGGTGGCATTTGCTGGGGCGGCAAACCGTGCTGGTGCATAGGAGGCGTCCCTTGGTGTTGGCCCGGTGGGTGTCCATAGTGCGCAAACTGTCCCGGTCTGGGCTGCTGATTCATTGCATGAACATTCGGATTGTACATGGATGGGTTCTGCATATACGTGAACCCCCCATTTGGGGGACCAGGGGGCGGTGGTGGAGGTGTACCGTGTTGCGAGGGACCTAGATTTGAACTGACTCGGCGAATATGATTCCTTGATGAGGGCCGCGAAGTTCCTTGAGGTTGCGGTGTGCCATGACGTGTCATAGCATGGATGGGGGGTGACGCGGAGGGTGCATGATTCATGTGCTGGAAGGCAGGCTGATTTTGGAGGTGAGGGGGAATGGCGGGGTGGTTCTGTTGAACAGCTTGAATGTCCTCGGGAGCCGGCGAAACCTCATCTTCCTCGTCGTCATCGTCGCGCTTGCCCGCGAAATCTTCCGGACCTTTATGCTCGTGGGGAGGGCCAAACTGAAAGATTACCAGTTAGAGATTTTCGGTGCGAATCGGAGAAGCTTGTACTCACATATTGATAGCGACCAAGAGCATCATGCATGTCACATGATGAATACTCGTATAGTTTCTTGTTGTGGCCAAAGATGATGACGGCTACGTCAACGGAGCAAAGAACAGCAAGCTCATGAGCCTTCTTGAACAGACCTCCCTTTCGTTTCAGGAACGTACTATAATCAAAGCTGCGATGAGCGACCAGAGCGATCTCCGGTGGGATGATTCAACTTACACTGAGCGATTGCGGTCATCCTTGATGGCCTTGATCTCAATCTTTCTTCTACCCATGATGGGCGGCTACGGGCGCATCAATTGCGCACCGATAGCAAGATTGAAAATAGACGGTACAGCAAGCCGCGGAGCGACTTGCGAGATACCTCGCGCGATTATGTTTTAATTACCCAGGATGTAGAATCGACGCGATGGCGATCCTAGCCACGCACAGTGGCACACGGGTATATGTGGAGAATATTCGTCTTTTCACAGGAGTATCTGAGGGGATGGGACTAGTCCAACAAAGGTATCTGAAACTAGAAACCAAGGTCTTTCAAGGTAAGAAACCCTGTAGATACTTGAGGAGAGGGGCTGGACGCGACTTGGGAAACAATGGACCCCCGGCGTTCAAACAGTAGTGAACCCGAGGCGATAGTAAAATAATAGGGAAAAACAAACGGAAGACAAAGCCCACACGAAGTAAAGGATGGAGAAAGGATTGACGATGCAGGAAAGGTTGATTCTAAAGATAGAATCGAGGGAAAGACAGGGAGAAGATTTAGTTGCTGACTCATCCGTCTATATTTATCTTGCCATTTGTGCTAACGTCTTGTCCCTGCAGCTTGTCACAGTGGAGTCCTCTCCTCCAATTCCCATTGGACCAGTTGAATGATTAGAAGCTGTTCCTCTGATATTTTCAGTGATGTCAAGCCGGGGAAAGCTCAGGGCACGGATAGATAGACTAAGGCAGAAAGATCCACAGAGAGATTTTATATTTGCAAGCCAAGCCATGTAGGCTATCTAAATTGCACAGACTATGCAGACTAACCTGGTATCCCTGATACCTTGGGCTCCCTCTAAAGAGTAAAGCGCCAGATCTGGATAATCTGACAAAGCCACCATCTGAGATTAAGTTGAAGCTTGGAGGTTGGTATAGACATGAAGATATGTAATGTACGGAGGACTCGACATATATGGTACCAAGAGTGAAGTTCTTTCGAATTGTCTCGTCCGAACTGATTGGTTCGCAGATTGGGCAGGTAAAGTAGACATATCGACACGTCTGAATGACAGTTCCTCCAATAGAAATAGCCCTAAAAGCCCATCCTCGAAATATGCATAACCTTGGATCCCTAAAACCCAGATCAAAGAGATGATCATTATCGGTATCATTCACTTCAAATCCCTTCAGTGCAAGTCAAATCCTAGGAATTCTTTTATAGCAAAACGTTGGAATCCTTTGTGTGGATGCATCTAACGGAGTCGAGACTCGCGGGTAAGTTAGTTTCGTTTACCCCTGAGCTTGTGAATCGCTTCTTTTTTTCCCTTCTCTCTCAACCCTTCACTTCTCGTCTCTCCTTTTTTTCCCCCTTTTTTTTCCCTTTTCGCTTCTGTCTGAGGTTTCTGTGGTTCCCACTTTGAGAAACACAGAGATCCTAGGGATCCTTGGCTTTTTGTGTCCTGCTGTTACCGGGGCTGCAGGACATCCCGGAAACGTCTAGACGTTTTGACTATTCACTCGGTCTGATTACCGTGTCGGTTGTCTGCATTGCTTTCTTTCAAAACTTTGAAACTTGTGCTAATTTTGTTGGTAAACAGAGGCAAAAAAAAAAGCGGACCCTCCATCTATCCCCGCAGTCCGATTTCTGACCAAGTCAATTCTCAGTCGCATATCCGATATGTCCTTCTTTTCTCGAGTGTTTCGGGCCAAGGATGCCACTGCGACCAAGAAGCAGGCCAAGCCTACCACGGCCCTGAACCCGACCCCTGCGAAACCCAAATGGACCGATGCGTGGCAGCGGACAGAGGTCGCGCCGGAAGAAGTCCAAGACCTTGTACGAGGGTGTGTGCATGAGCTCAAGGCCCGAGGTAGGTGGATTGATATCTTGACCGTGAGATGCGAAACCATTGTTCGGATTGCTGATTATTCGTTGCAGCTCTTGACACCCCATTTCTCCTCCTACCGTTCCGTCCTAGCTCCGACCCTAGTGCAGCTCGCACCTTCATTCGCAATTACTTCAACCAGTCTTTCGAAAAGGGCTCGCCCGTCAATGGAGATGTCTTGTCGCAGGAGCTCCGGCTCACAGAGCCGATGGTGAGAGATCATGTCTTTTGAGGGGCTATCAGGGGACTAACGGCATTGCTATAGGTTCTGTGTGGTGTGATGAAATGGTGCTGGAGCAGACTTCCTGGCGGTGTCGTCACTTGGGAGGCATATGAGACTTTCAAGATGGGCGAACATGGTACGCGATATCGAATGGAATGTGGGGGATGTACGCGCTGATGAGATATTAGATTCGGATATGGCCCGCGACGCTTTCTCGACCTTCATTCCGATCGGGGGCGATTCTGATGCGCGCATCAACATTATTCTGGATTTCTTCGATCTTTTGGCTGCCATTGCAGCCCATGGAAAATCTAATGGGCTGGGAGGCCGCAAGCTTTCCCGGTACGCTGGATGGTGGGCCTTTGAGCATGTCGATACAGGCAATGGCTTCGAGGCCGCCTACAAGAATTGGGCTGTGTATGAACTTCCCCTGGTCTGATACCTTCAGATGATATTCTAACACCAATTTCTAGTGCCGCCGATGCTACGAGTCACTTGTTCTTCGCCTACCTTCGTTCGTTGTCTCCCGATGTCCCTCGCGGCGTGAGTGGCATCTCATCGCTCCCCATTTCTCTCCAATCACTCGTTGAAGCGACCGAATACCCCCCGAGACCCCGACCTTGCTCCAAGTTACCACTACAAAGGTGGTGATGATTGTGGAGAATGTTTCTCCGACGCCATTTTCTTTGTTGCGACGCGCCAAGAACTTTGAATACCGCGACGACGACTGGCACCTGCAGGAGTTTGCCAACTACGAAGATCCCGTCAGTGCATTGACCGACGAGTGTCTCCGTGTTCTCGGGTGCATCTCATCTACCAACCAATCCAGCGTCTCGAGTACCAAACAGTCGACCAGTTTGCGGGATGCGTCCTGGTCGCGCTTCGAGGACATTGGATTCGGTGGATCGATCGATTCTGACCCGGAGGATGAAGGCAAGGAACCTGCCCCGCCGGCGACTTCAAGGACTTCAAAGAGTGGATCTGCCGGAGGCTTGCAATCCGTTCCTCAGTCTGGAGGAGGTGACCTTGGCCGCCCTACCACCCCCTCGTGGGCAGACTTCATGTCGTCCGGATTCGCGGATGAAAACAAATTGCAGGGCCATGTGGGCCCTCTGCTTTTGCCTCCGGACAAGGTCCTGCCTCCCATTGCCGCTGTACGTGGCATGAGCTCTCAGTCACACAAGCGCTCTTTGGATATCGAGCCGGATCTCGAGCCTGCCGAGTTGGCAAGTATCAACACTCTAGACATGGACGACTCGTTCTGGTGGGTCTGGATCAGCAGTCTGTCAGGTGATGAGCCAGCTGCCCGCAAGGCTGTGTTTGGTCGATGCGCGCTTCTGGAGACCCGTATTCGGGATACCAAATGGTTGATCCTTGAAGAGCAGATCAAGGGTGCTGCCCCAGAACCTGAGGCTGGTGCTCAGATAGTCGAGAAGAAGCGATTCTTCAGCTTCGGTAGCCGCAAGGGAAAGCTCAATCGCCGGAAGTCGTCGGCCAAGAAGGTGCCCTCCTCCATTGAAGAGTCGTACAAGCGGCCCAATAATCAGGCACCGCACAGCAAGACCAGCATCGGACCGGATCAGCACAAGCGGATCCAGGCAGCTGCGGCCGCTCTGCAAAAGAAGCACCGCGAGCAGGAAGCGGAAGCGACAGAAAACCGTGCCACCCCCAATAATAGCCGTTACTCCAAGACCAACTCCGTCATGACCCTTCAGCCTGCTATTGTGAACGAGGCATCTCAGGCCATGAAGTGGGCTAAGAACTACGATAAGGGCGCGTTCAGGGCAGCATATCTCAGTGACAACCGCGCTGGCACTGGCCAAGTTGAAGAAGTCCAGGAGACACCAGAGCCGATCTCAAAGAACTCCGAGGAGAAGCCTGCTACGCCGTTGGCACCTCTCCCAGCTAACACTGGAAAGAGCGGTCCCCCGCCACTTCCCAAAGAAGCTGCTGCTGCTGTGGCCACCCCTCTTCCTCCTTCTCCTAAGGAAGCGCCAATTCAATCTGTCAACGTCCCCACCATCGAAGAGAAGAAGCCCATCACAAAGCCTGCCGTTATTGAACAACCCACTGAGCGTCGGGACTCGGTGGATGAGGCGGGCAAGAAACTGAAGAAGAAGACTGGCAATTCTGGTTTCAAGAGCATGTTCACAGCCAAAAAGAAGCCCGAACAGCAACAAACTCCTGTAAAGAGCACTGATTCCAAGGAGATCTCTACTGTGGCAGCTGCTCGTGCGGCCCTCGAGGCCAGGACGAAGGCAGCCCAGGAGTCCAGTCCCATGAAGAAGAAGCCTGTTCCGAAGGTCACCGCTGTCGCCGTTACTCCCGTGGCTGCTGAGGCTGTAAAGCCCCCATCGCCCCAGAGTGTCGAACCGCCCGTCAAGGAACCTGTGACGAAAATCCCAACCCCGACTCAACCTTCCACTTCTCTGAAAGAGAACGGTGCGCCGCCCAAGACCAGACGCGCTGTTGAGTATGATGCTCTCTCGCGCGTCGGTACCAATGAACGCGACGCGGCCGATCAGGAGTTTTCCAAGTTCGACCAGGGTCCCCTGACTGACCAGCCTGTCTTCGTCCTCGAGGATCCTCCCTCTCCCGTCGACGTCGCACCTGTAGCACAAAAGACCGAGGTTCCCCAGACCCCGACTAACGGCAATGGTGTCCGCTCTAAGACTGCCACCTCACCCGAGTCAAGCGAAGCTACACAGGATCGCTGGAAGGCGATCCGCGAGGCTGCTGCCCAACGGGCTGCCGCGGCCCAGGAAGAACAGACGCACGAGCACGAGACCGAGAACACCCGGACTAGTCAGTCAGAGCGCACTGACGAGGGTGATACTAGCGGAGAGGAGAGTGAGTAACAACTTCATTCCCCAGACTGACCCCACACTAACAATTCTTTTTACAGCCATTGAAGCCCGTGTCGCCCGCATCAAGGCCCGAGTAGCTGAGCTGACCGGCAACGTCGAGGATGGACCAAGACGCTAGCCTGCCACGTCCCTATACCAGTTTTCTGCTTTCCTTTGTCCATTTTTCCTGCTCATCCCCTCCCCTGGCTCTCAATTCGCCCGTGATAATCCAGGATGTATCTTTTGTTAATCGTATACCCTTCTCCCGACCAGACGTTGGTCGTGTTTGCCTAAGCGCAGTCTGAAGACCAAACAAGGTCCGCATCTCCATCTGGAGATAGACAGACCGACGAAGACTGCGATACGACTGATGGATTCTTTTGGTTGCGACATCTGTTTATTTTTTTTTCTTTCTTCAAATGTCTTCTGGCCTCCGGTCTGCAATCCTCGACTGGACAAATCTGTCTTGCTTTATTTCCTTCACCCATCTATCGAATTTGGGCTATTTGCTTTTTTGTGTCTTGCTCTATTCCCCTTTCGCTACTGCTATTGATTCTGATTTCGCTATCAATACTGAATCGCTTTGTGCTTTTGAATTCAAAGTACTATGTAATATGGAACTTATCTCAAGCACATCAGAACCAGAATAATATGATAACAGCAAACAAGAAGTCCACGGACATGTAACATTACATTCTGGATTTACCCTTTTCTCCAATTTGCCAGTTTCCATCCCATCTATAATTAAACCCTAGCTTTTACAATCCCAAAGCCTTCAAGATCGCCTTTCCAACTCCAGACGCAGACCCGGGATTCTGCCCAGTGATAATAGTCGACCCCGTCCCAGCCGCCTTCCCAACAACAACCATCTCCCCCAAGGCTCCGCAGCCTTAACATACTTCCCACCAGTAACACGTCCTAGCTCCGTCTCAAGCATAAATGGCATCGCCGACGACAGCTGCACTGCATCTTCCTCGGCATTCGAGAACCCGGTCACGGTAACCCCCGAGATAAGCGGCACGCCCGAGGGCGCAGTCGCATTCAGTAGCACGCAGGGGGCGTGACAGACGGCTGCAACAGGCTTGTTCGCAGCCGCGAAGGTTTGAATGAGAGCGAGTGAGACCGGGTCGGTTGTGAGGTCGAACATTGCTGAATCATTCGTATGTATTAGATGTGTTTTACGGTTGGGATAGCACGGAATAGCTATGACTATAGCTAGAAAAAGGAAAGTTACTCACGTCCATGACCGCCAACATAGAAAATGGCGTCGAACTCGTCCGCGCGCGGAAGCATATCCGCCAGCTTGTACGTGTTCGTCCAAAGAGCTTTTTGCTCTTTCAGGAACTTCTGCGCCACCTCGTCTCCCTCGGACATCTGGACTGAGGATGGGTCTAGGGGTGCTTCGCCTCCTTTTGGAGAGGCGATTGTGAGGGAGACTTTGTCATGGAGGACTTCGTGGGGATGGGCGAATTCGGGCTGGTGGTTGGTTAGTGTTTGTTTAGAATTATGATTTAATATTTGATTGAGTGGTTCTCAAATCGCAAGATGTAGGTGTCTTGAAACTATGGGTTTGCATACCAGATACCAGCCGGTTGGTTTACCGAGGGCGTCGATCTTGTCGTGGGAGGTGAGGACGACGAGGACTTTAGGGGCCATTTTAGTTTTGGTGAATGGATGTGTCAATTGAGTAATGATTATATTGGATATAGTAATATTTTTTCAAATAAAGTGAGCGCCAAGCGTAGCTCTGGGCTTCTTATATGCCTCCCCGCCGCTTGCGGCGATCAGCATCACCGTATGTATCACTATCCCGTCACCGACTCCACCATACTCAATGGGTTATCGCACAGCCAATGAGGTTTGTTGCTGATATAGTCTCCCTCGTGAAGAATTGGTGAAGCTCCGAGGTTAATTCTAGTCATTTAGGGGATGATATCATACCTGACATGAACACATCTTTGCATAGAAGACTACTGTTAATTGATGCACGCTATATATCTGATGGGAGGTCACATAACTTCTGCTTTTTGCTCGTTTTGATATATACTCGACCCTAGACATGGTTCAATTAGAGAATCGGAGGGTCTTATATAAGTCTATTGTAATTTTCTTGACATTGGTATAGTTTGTACGGGAAGACTATATATATTGTACATAACGCCAACAATTCTTGCAGTTCATATTTCTCAACCATAACGTCGGAAGCCTCGTGGGGATATTGATATGTATTAAGAATTGAAACGACTTTATGACTCGATACAATTTGAGCTATTGTCTTTCCAATTATTGTTATTTCATAGTACAGGATCAAAAACTCAGAACCATCCTTGACTATGTATACTATAGACCACACGTTTTACTTCCTAATAAATACCCCAACTAATATAACTCTAAGATCATCTACCGTAAGTTTTATTTATATTCTATGTACATAATTTTAGGCTTCAGTAATATAATTGAAGGAAATCGGATCGTAAGTACATGTTGTATGGCAGCTCCATATAGAAGGTACATGTGCATGTGTACATGTATGCATGAGATTATGCCAGTTCGAGTTAAGCTTGTACTTTTGTCCAACATGCACGTCACATCACGTGCAATGTTCTCTTTGATGGCTTCTAACCCCTCTTTTACAGATGTCTTCTAACACTCTCGAGATGATGATCTGGATATCGGGGGACTGGTGAGGCTATTGGGCTTAGGGGGTGGTTCTGACCTCTTTACGACAGACTTATGCTCTATTTGCTAAAAATCAATTTCAAATTCCCAGATTCTTCCAAGCAAACTATCACACATTCATCCCAGAAAAGACCAGAAATCAGCACCATCAATCTCAGTCGAACTTCCTGTGGCGTTTCCCCCGGTGATCTCTCATATTATCCTTGCGACCAAAGGCCCGATCACATTCCGGACACTTGACGGAGCGATGTACAACATGTTGTACTCTGATATGGCGCATCAATGATGCAAGGCTGCTAAACGTGTTGCGGTGTTTACAACCCTCCCATAAGCAGAGGAAGAGGCCATCCAATTCACTGGGAAAGACTGTTAATGACGAAGCGGGAAGTAGGAAGAAGATGGATATGCAACTCACCCTCGTTCCTGGGATTCACCGTGAGCAAGAGTTGGCCCCACATCAGCAATCTCAGTGTATTTCCCCCTTGGTACAGAACTCTGTTGTGGAGATAGAATTGATGCCGAGGACTGGATTCGGGTTGTGGTTTGACCGGGACTGACATAGTCTTCGGTCCCAACCTCGGTGGTTATAGGCGGCCTGGTCGAGGAAGACTGCGTGTTGCTTTGGTACAAGTTGTCTACGGTGGCAGGATATGGAGTAGTATGCATAGTCCAGTTGGGCTCAAGAGATGCAAATACATTGCTCAACGAAGGGTTGTAATAAGACCAGTCCGCAGAATGAGCAGACGGCTGCCCGATCGTGGAACCATGGCTCCCAGAAATGTCGTATTCAGGAGAGCACGTAGAGAGTGCACCGGGTTGACTAACCGTGGAGAAATCGCCCGTAGAAGGGTCGTAGGTGGAGCTGTGGGTAGAGAGCACAGGCGACTGTACGACTGTGGAAGTATGGTTCATAGAAGGGCCATGGCCAGACCGGTCCGCAGAATATATAGGTGGCTGTCTCACCACAGACACAGGCGGGTGCATGGTGGAAGTTCTAGGACTTAAATTGAGTCGTTCGTTGCTAGATCGAAACATTTCATATTCTAGCATACTCGTCAATGTCCGATGGGTATTTCATGAGTAGAAAAGAAGAATTGGGATACTGAGCAAGTGTTCAAATGTGAACATCAGAAAGGTATTTCAGTCGGGAACAAGGTTCTTTAAATATTGTCTACTTGCATCAGGCTCATTCTTGTTCAAGGGTCGAGCGATCACCAACCTGAACCTTCTCCGCCCAGATCTCCATCCCGAGATCCAGCTTATGTCCCGCTCGACCTTATAGGACCGCCCAATCAGACCGCTGTTCACCTGCTGATGATCAGCGAATTTACATCCTTTTGCTGCAAGGCAGTCACGGTGGGTAGGAGAGATGGAGCTTGACCACGCGCGAAAAAAAAAAAAAAACCCCCCAGATTCCTATCCTGGGGTCTACAATGATTACAGAGCATATGTACCATGCATATCTCGTTCTAGAACATATCTTATTACGCTCGTGGAGTATTCATGAAGGTAACAAATCTAAAACGTCATTTCCATTTTACGACCTTCATTTAGTACGACCGGGATCACCCATATGACAGATTAAATGTCATGTCTATCCCAAGGTTAACTATCAACCACTTCACTATGCCTAGGATTAGCTCCAATTGTATAGCTATTTAGTATAACGACCTATAGGCTTAGTATCTCAGTAATAAATCAGAGTTCGTAATATGTGTAAAATTGTGGTATTCAATTGTCAACGTCGACGGCATGGCTAAGTTATAAAGTATGACTTTGAATACTACAACTACCGTTGAAGCTTTATTGTATATAAAATATAGAACTACAAGGGGCGTCCCAAAACTGGATCTTAGATATCTGTGAAAGCATTAGAAAGGTTGTAGAATTGAGCTTCATACTTGAAATGATTCTAACAAAATCTTGTTGAGAAAAACAAGGATTCATAGATGTCCGTTCTATATGTTCTGCCTAGTGAAAGCCACACTTTCATATGGCCCTTTTACATGTGTGGCGGAGTCTCCGTGAGGGTCTGTACTCTTGCAGAAAAACCGTAGAGCGTAAGGGCCAGTCAGTTTTTCAACATATTAAAAAAAAAAAAAAAAAAAAAACTACTAAATTTCTCTATCGTACAGATTTGTGGGGAAAAAAGCCGAAAATCGCGATCTTGTTGGTCGCATCGAGATCATGGGGCGGGACTTCGGGGTGTCACACCGCTTACAATAGTACGAAGGGGGTACATTTGGGCTCCCCGTCAAGGATGTCCCCGATGCCGATGTCCCTTTTATTTTCTCAATTTTTCAATTTTTCAATTTCGCTTTTTTACATTTTTCATCAATTATTCAGGTTATAGAGCCCGAAACGCTATGACGTTGCTGTCGTTTCAGGGGCGTCCAGGCATCGATCCAGTTGTCTGATCCCTCTGAATGCAGTCGGAAGTATAGCGAGAACGGTGTCTAGGAGCTGTATTGTGTTGAAGAGACCTTGCCAGGTGCTGGCTTCCTACCACGCTTAATCCCAAAGCCGATTCTACTGAACTTTCCATCACAATAGACCGAGCACAGATGTACAACAGTATAAAGTGAATCAGGATATTTACTATATGCAAGGTCTTAAAATGCGCTTGTGTGGCGTTTCGCTATGCACAGTACGGCGACCGGAAGTGTTATCAGGTATGTACATGTTCAGGCTCGATCCCCTTCTCCGAGCCTCAAGTCCAACCGTTTCACAGAGTAGTGACGAGTATTCAACAAGCCCACTTCCCCTACTTAGTCCACTGATCCAATCATCGTCTACCCCTGTACAGGGTACCGGCAATTTACATTACTCCCATCCGATGTGTGCTGTGTTCTTACCACTATTCTCGAAGTTCGTCAGAGATCTTATTTCTATTTCTGTTTTTTTTTTTTTTTTTTTTTTTTTTTTGTTCTCCTTCTGACCTCGTTTTATATTTGTCACTCGTTCAGGGAGTAGAAACCGTGCCAAGTGCTCAATACGACCCAATACACCGATCCAATACACCGATCCAATACACCGGGGGTGTATTGGGCGCTTGGCACGGTTATCTGTTGATCTCTTACATCTTGGGTGCGACTCTCACTGTATAGCATATACGTGTCACCTGTTGACGTGTGCTATTAATATCTACAGTGACTGGACATAAGTTTTTGCACCCCTCCCACACGTCTGATGATATAATATACTGCCGGCCATAAACATGGATTCACACTATGGAACATAGTATGGTGTATACACCCTTATCTCCAAATGATAGCTTCTACACGGTGCAGTTCCATCTTGGAAAGATACTCGAAGGGAAGATTCACCCAAATACTCTTCTATTACTTCGCGTAATATCCGAACATGACTTACACTACGTGTTCTGGGAAGGCGGTATCAATTGCGGTGGCGGTGAGCTGGTGAGTATTTCGGGGGTCACTGACTGATATACTGTAGTTCCTACGGATCCACTGCCCCTAAGCTATCTATTCCTGGATATCTCGAAATTAGCCATCATCGAACAGACCGAAATCGCCAAAAGAAAATGAGAAATCTACTCTGTGAGGCTGATTTTGAACCACATGGCTTCGTAGGTAGGTATTATCTATTATGTATGTGCAGATGCAAACGAAGAAAAAGAAACAAAACTCCTTTTGCGGAGACAGATGGGGTTCACTGTACATGTATACTCTCTCTCTATAAAGGTGTGCACACAAAATCTCAACCGTAGTCAAGACAAGGCTCGCAATATACACCGGGGTATCGAGCAAAAATCAATGGCTATTCATCGCAACGGATCGTAATTTCGCAGCTTTTGCTTTGCACTGCTTGCTCATAGTACATATCGCAGTCGGCGTGTAGCCTCAGCTGCGATGAGAGCACTTATCGCCCCGATAAAGAGACAAATGGAGATGGCATTCGGCCTATCCTTGTCCAGATTCATCCAGTGCGAATCGGGCATGTTGTCGGAGGCGTTATCGGGTGCGGGTGCTGCCCCCGGTTCGAGGATGCTGAAGACAATCCAGCTGATGAAGGTACCGACAAACTGGGGTAAGGTCGTATACACGTTCAGCACGCCCAGGTAAATACCGGCCAATTCACCTGTTGACGGGATGTTGGATGATTGGTCCTCCTCGTCGGTGTCGCTGTCGAAGGAATCGCGGTGGTTGAGTCGGAGAACATCCAGTTCATTGTCGGCGGCGGAGTTGCGCAGACTGGCCGAGGTGATCATCGTTACGCCGGATCGTGAAGATGGGATTGCGGGGGAATAACCGCCCATTGTGAGCTTGTTGATTTCCACGCCCATAAAGGCGAATGGAGCCCAGCCGCTAATTGCCCAGGGGATGCCGCAGACGGCTACTAGGAAGGTTGCGAAGGCGCGGGAGTGTGCTAGAGGAGCGAAGATCATTGTGGCAGCAAACATGATCTGGGAGATTAGCCAGGCGGTTTGGAGGTCGGGTCGGATTGCGGTGGCATATTTGAGAATTGCTGCAAATACTGGTGGAGGTCGCGCGGTGAAGCGTGTTCGTTTGCTATCTGGTGGTAGGATGCAAAAGGGTAGGAGGACAGAGCTGAGGAATGTGATGGCCGAAAAGACAGTTAATGAAAGACTGCCCACGCGGCCGACTTCACCAAGCATATCTTTTGCTTTGGCCATATCGTCTTTTGGGACTTCATAACGGAAGTAAGTTTCACCAACCCAGGTCGTGCTGTAGAAGAGGAAGGGGAACCAGCCTGCTTAATGTTAGTATTGTTAATTTTCTAAACGCGGGATTTCCCATACCAATCCAAGCCCAAAACTGGGCCCAGCAAATTGCTTGAATCCGAGGCGGGAGTTCGAAAGTAGTTTTGAACAACTGAGAGAGGACTTGAATCGCACCAGCACTTCCATCATCCCTGTCATCAAATGTTAGTTTATAGCAATAAGTATCGGTCCGAGTTGATCCCACCTGGCTGATATCAGAACTCGCTCTTTCACCGAGTAGGAGGTGACTGCCACCGCCGCCACCAATGAAAAAGCAGCGATCACTGTCATCTGCTTGAATTGCGTATCTCCGATGATAGTACCAAAGATGCCAACAGTATCGATGGCACCAACCACGTAGGCAAATAGTTGGCCAATGGCAGACATTCGCCCGGCTACAAGAAAGGTGGTCAATTAGGGTTTTAGGCTGAGACATATGGGGAAGGGCCATACCCCATGCGGATCCAGCTTGTTGCGATGGGATCGGTAGTGTATCCACAATCAAACCGCGACAGCACGCTTGAACTAAGACACTGTAAGCCACTTTCAATTAAGGTGTTGGCGTCTACCACTTACCAACGTTGATGGAGAAATCCACCGCATAAATACTCAACACAGCTAGGGCAATTGTGCCATTTTTAGCCTGTAGAAAATCTATATTAGCTTCAACATAATCATAGACTAGGTGAATGTTCCAATGTACCTTTTCCGGATCTTTCACAAATAAACCAACAATCTCTGTCGTCCATCCCAAGATAAGCAGACAGAAAGCGACAACAAACGATCCAAATATCATGAAAGGTCTACGTCGACCCCATTTAGATCGTGATCGATCAGCAATAACTCCGATTAGAGGCTGGATAATCAACCCAGACAACGGGCCAGCAATCCACACCAACGAGGTTTTAGACTTTGTCAACCCAAGCTGGAGAAGGTAAGGTGTACAATCTAAGCAAAACAAAGCAAGTCAGCGAAAATTATCCCCAGGTCCCAATAGAGACAAATTGTAAAGTGGATAGCTCTTACAGGTCATCTCAGTACCCCACGTGAACCTATTCCAAACACCGCGTTAGCCACTGCCACAGCAATCCTCGGAATCCTCCAATTGCTTTCAAGAACCGCGAGCTAGAAGAACTGCGCAACATCCGAGCCCCCACTCCCAAGCGCGGAATTAGAAACGGGTGATACGCACTGCAATCCCACCAAACTAAACGTCAAAAGCGCCATCCTGGTAGACTCA